AGGATAAATGAATCCCTATCTAACTCTTATAACTCTTCAGCACAAGTTCCTTCAAAAAAGAATGTTCTTATATCTCCAGGGATTAGACATAGGCATTTAATAAAACCAAGCTCTCACAGCTGAATATTTAACACACATGTTTTTAAGAGAACTCATTTGGTTATCATATATGTAGGTAGCTTCAGATTCTTCTCCACTTTGCTTATAATCCAGATGATTTCAAATAATCTTTCATTTCCTCTCCCTGCACAAAGGAGTTAACACCAATCAACTCCTGATCACTGCTAGAATATACAGCAGGAAATCAATTATGCCAAAACTAATTTCAGGAAAAAAAAACCTCAATAATTAAAGCTGTCCAAAAATTAAGTGAGACGCCTTTGGAGGTAACGAAGGTCTTCAAAGGCTGGATAACCCCTTGTCAGGAGGAGAACTGGGAACAAGCATTTTATTAAGCACCTACTTACTATGTGCTGGGCACTGTGCTAAGGAATTTACTGTTATATTCTCATTTACAGTAGTGATTCCTTTTAAATATGGGTTAAACGGCCACTGAAGTCTTTTCCAACTCTCAAATTCTGTGATTTTCCCAGAATATTTTTCAAAAAGCTTTTAAAATGGTGCTCAGAGCTCAGGGAATTCTAGATAAATCATTAAAAGTGCCAAGTCAGCATGGTTTTAATTCTATATTTTTCTTCTTTTTTGAAGGGCTTTTTATTGTCAGTAGTTTACATTATTCAAGAAGCAGAATCCATCTAGTCTAACCCAAATCTGAACAAGAATCCTTTCTACAACATATCTGACAAGTGTCATCCAGATTTTGCTTTAAAAAGAACTTCAGAAAAGGAAGAACACACTACCTTACATAGGACGGCCCATTCATTCTGGGCTCTCTCTAATGGTTAAGAAATCTTTCCTAATGTTAAGCATAAATTTGGCTGTTTGTAACATCCACTTACTGCTACTGGTCCTGAACTCTGGGGCCAAAAAGAACTAGCCTATCCATCTTCCTTATGACAAGCTTCCAAATACTTGAACACAGCTGTGTCATTCTCCCCTCAAGTCCTCTCTTCTCCCTGTTAACTCATCTTTACACAGCATGAACTCAAGACCTTTCACCAGGCTACCTGCCCTCCTCTGAACACTTTGTGGCTCATCAACAGAATCCCCAAACTGAACATAATACTTCAGATGTAGTCTGATCAGGACGGAGCATTTACAAGACAACCCACCCCCCCAGTCCTGGACATAACGTCAATTATCCCTCTCAATACAGTCTAAGATTAGATCACCTTTCTTGGCTGCCACATCTTACTGATAACTCATATTAAACTTGTGGTCCACTAAAACCACCAGATCTTTGTTTAGATTAACTGTGTCTTCATACAAGATGCAACTAACCAGCTCTTCTTCCTCTGACCCTTGCTGATTTCTTAATTACAGATCACCTTAACATTCCTTAGAGACTAAGCAATTCCTATTTCAGAGTACCTAGTTCCTTGCCAGCGCTAAGGGATCCTTCTTCCCTTCCTGTTCTGCATGACTATCTACCCACCCCCTATAACCAAGTACCTGACACAGGTCTGGACATCCTTCTTCTTCATGTAAAAAATGTTTGAGAAAAAGAGGAGGATCAGTCATGTACAGGATAAAAGATGGACAGATATGTTGCACCAGTACCCACAAAATATTATAAGTATTCGAAAGTGGCTTCTACCACTTGGGATAAATCCCTTGTCAGGATTTATATAAAGAAATGGGGGAAAAATTCATTTAAGATATAGCAGTAAGGATGGATTACCACATGGACTGGTGGTACTAATCATGATGAAATCACAGATATATTGAAAAAGTGAAGTAATCCCAAAATTATAAACTCTTTGAAAGCAGGAAATATCTTCTGTAAGTCAATGTAACCCATTCCCACTCGTATTAAGTACTGTGAACACAAAATCTGATGTCTACAACACAGATTATCCATCTATATAATGCTTTATCCCAAAGACAAAAAAAATTTTTTTCCCTCAATTCAACCTTATAGAAGAACAGTGTTGAATTCTAATTTTTCGTATGTTTTCCCAATTCTCTTAATCCACAACCATACTAAAAAGATTGGATATTAAGTAAGCTAAATTCTTCTGGCAAAAACCTACCAGTGCTGTGCTCCTATAAGACTCGATGAGGTACTGATGAATTACCTGATGCTTATTTCCTCTCTGAACTTACCTGCTTCATGGTTCCAAGCACTGGCTTACTGCTTGAAATGCTCTAAGCATCCTGGGCTGCCAATCAGATTGTCTCTGGGAGGTTCTTGGCTTTTAAAGTCATCACGTTCCTTGATGCTTGCTAGACTAGGAGCACCCTTTTTTGTCAAAAACATAACATTTTATCCCTACAGTCTCATACACGAGCTGCTATCCAAACAGCTCATCTAAGGGAAAATAAGGCTGTAACCAACCTTTACAAAAGAGAAGTATACAAAGAGAATATTTAAGATTTACAAGATACTTCTGGAAAATAAACCTTTTCAGCCAAGAATTGCAGTTCAGTACTTATCATTTCAGTTTTATATTTCTAAGTGGAGGAAAATGAACAGAAATCCTAGGCTAAAAAAGGAATGAAGGGATCAGGTCAAAGCTGATATGCACTGAACACTCACTAGTTTACCGCCCTACAGGAGTTAAGCATCCTAGAGTGCTGACCTCAGAATCAAGAAAAACTGTTCAAATCCCCCTCAGACAGGGTCTATTACCCCGGGCAAGAAATTTAAAGCTTGCAGTGCTCCAAGCACCTCAATAAGACTAAGTTGGAGAGAGGAACCGATCAGCTTGCTATAGGAGAGGGAATTCCTCACTAGGAGTCTCCTACACCAATGACATGACATCACAGGTGTTTTAAAAAAAAAAAGGTAAAAATAAGGATACTACACAGCATTTAGCACCTAATGAAAAAAGAAACCCACACCCCAGCACATTCTGAATGCAAAATATTTTAAATAGTGAAATTAATTTTCATTCTAAATTTCAAATCAGAAAGGACTAGCTTCATGAACATACATATAAAAATATCATTTTAGTAATCCTTAACCTTATGCATTTTCTGTAGACTTGGAATTGCAAAATGTAAACATGACTGTGTAAAGCAGCTGAAAACCTACTTTCTAAACATCTATTTTCTCTTCAACAGAGGCTCTCCATTTTTTAAAAAAGGATTATTAAAAGCACAAGTCCACTCATATTTTCCTATCTACTTGAAAAAGTGCTATAATATGGGGGAAAACAACTGATAAGTCTGAGAAGCGTTTAAGTTAAATCTACCAAATCTAAAATTCTGTATTATACTCGAGGCCTAAATTGACTATTTTTTAAATACGTGGTTACAACCCCCAAGGAAAGCATATGCAAATTGTTCTCCCCGATAAAGCTTCAGGATCACCCAAACAGAACACTCTACTGTCCCTCACTTAAACAAACTACAAATTCCTTTAGGACAATACTCTCATTTGGTATAAAATACAACCATTCATCAGCTTAAGGGAATTTTTCACATTCTCCCATTGGCTGCCTATTCTATTTGCAAGGGCTACTCAACCTGCGGGCTACTGTAATCAGTAAAGACTGAGACTTAATTACTCTAGAGACCTCACCCTCTACTGGCACCAGCAGAGTACTATAAAGACCAGTTACATGGTTTTCTAAATAAACACCCAGATAAAGTCTTGAGGCACTAAGGGACAAGTTGTCTTCCAAGAAAGGTACTCGGTTCCAGAGCTGCTCTACATTGAAGTCAAAACAGGCCAGTTTGTTTACCTGATAGGACAGAGGGCAATGCCTATCTTTTAGGCCTGCCATTCTCTGGTAAGGAGAGCCTTGCTGAACTTTTTCTTCACTTCAGTATTTCACTAAAATATACAACCGTCCTCACACACCTTACATTTCTGAACTAAAATTCGGAAATCTTTATGTAACTTTGTAATTTATTGTTGTCACCATATGGCAAAACTCAAAAAGTTTATGGAAGAGGAGAGTAGAAGCAAAGTGTGCTAACGTTGGAAGGTGGCAGAAATAACTTTATAATTATATCCTTTTTCATAGCTTAAACAATTTCCCCTACCTGCCCCCTTTTTTTTTCCCCTCCAGAGTTATCTCTCTAACAGTTAACATGGAAAGCTAGATCCTCGCTTGGTCTCCTGCTCCTTTCTCAATCCTTACGGACGACAACCTGAGCTATTTTTTAAAAATCATATTGCATACATCTCTCTTCTGCAACAAGCTGTTACAAAATCCCACCAATTCCTTCTCAAACCATTCTAGGGTAGACTGACTCCATTCAGGCTTGCCCATCTACTTCCCTTACAGCAAGTTTCCCTAATTTATGCGAACACGGCCAGGGGGGTGTGGGGGGAACTGCAGCTTGTACCACCGACACCCTCCCCGAGGCGCTAGCTCCCCGCAGATGCTCCACCGAGCATCCCCTCCCCTGGCCCTTCCTCTCCCGTTCTATACTCGCGCTTCTGGTCGCCCCTTTCAGGGCCCTTACCTGCATCTGTTTTCGTTTCCTCCTCATCCCCTCCCTCCAAAGCCCCACCGCCTGTTGCATAACTGCACCCCTCTATCCCCCCCCCGGTTTTTCCGGTGCTCCTCTTCCAAGCCCAGCTGCGCCCCCCCATCTCCTACCCGGCTCGTGTCGCTGGTGGGAGGCTGGCTAAAGCAAGGATCGCTCCCCCCTTTCTCAGACTCGGCTCTCGCAGCTGGAGACTTTCACGCTCGGGGTCACTTCAGAGCAGCGCCCCGCACACAGTGGCACTTCATAAATCCTCACTGCCTGGGCAGCACCAACCCCCCCTTTTTTCTCCCCGCCCCCCGCCGCGCAGGCTGGACATTTTCGGGCGTCCACCCCCGTCCCCCCGGCAGCAGGGGATGCCGAGGCGGGCCCCGGGGTCCTGGGGAGCCGTGTGGCCGGCCGGCCGCCAGGCCCGGGATGCGCATCCCCCTCCTCACCTTCAGGACTCGGATGCCCCCCGGCCGGCGGCTCGCAGCGGGGGCCTCGGGCGGCTCCGGCGGCTCCAGGGGGCCCGTGGGCCCCGGCTCCACCTCCCCCATCCGCGGCGGCGGCGGCGGAGACAGAGGAGAGAAACGACCGGCGGCGCGAGCGACGAGCGGCGCGAGACGCAGCGCGCGAGACCAGGCGGAGGCCCCGCCCCCGAGGCTCCCTGCGCAGAGCCCCGCCCCTCCCCCCAGCCCGGCCCGGCCCGAGCGCGGAGCGGCCGGCTCGCGCGGTCAGTCCGGGCGGGTGGAGGCCGGCCGAGGCCGCGGAGCTCGGCCCCCGCTCGGCCGCCATTGGCTGAGCGCGCTTCTGGTGACTGGGGCGTGGAGGGAGAGGAGCTTATGCTAATAACATACTGTGACCCCGGGGCCCGAGACGCGGGCGGCGAAGGCTGCACGTGGGCGGGTGGCGCCGGCCCCCCAGGGCGCTCGGCCGGGGGCCCCCGGGTTCCCCGATCCGCTCAAGACGTCACGGGCGGGCGCCCGAAGGGGCCGCTAACCTACCCCGGGGCGTGCTAGGCCGGCCGCCCCCGGGCCGCGAGCAGCCCCAGCAACGGCGTACCTGTTCCGCACCGCTCTCCCGAGGGGCTGGCCCAACTACGGGACTGGGGCGGCTTGTCATTTCTCTTCGGGGTCGTTCCCTTTGAGACAAACAAGCCCTTGCTTCAGAACTGATTTTGAGACTATTTCCGTGCTCCCAGAGCTCTCCCCTACCTTCCTGCCCACCCCTCCCCTCCCCCTCCCCGTTAATTCCGCCTATATTTATCTCTCCAGAAGCCTCCTAAGACCTTGTCCTCACACAGGTGCCAATGACTCATCCTTCAAAAGCAGCTTGTAAGGAATTTGGCAGCAAGAACCGTTAATCTCGGGAGATTTATATAATTAGTAAAGAGAACTATCACCGATTTTCTCTTACTACAGGTTGCCTGGCTCACACCACCCATAATCTGCCTGAAGGGATGATAGACCACCTTTCAAAAATGGATTGGTTATCTTTGCTTTACCATCAGCTACAGACCTCAGAGTATCACTCTCATCTCTCCCAAAGGGCCATTCCTTACAACAAAGGACAAGGGGGGGGGGGGAGGAAACTGATGCAGCAAAACTAATCAAGACACCCAGAAAGTGACATTACAACTTAATCTGTTTCAGGCTACCAGTTCGTTTCACTTCTGAAGCAATGTCATTTAAAAACACACACACACAAAACTAAATAGTCTGACAGAGTACACAGGACCGGGAGCTGGCTTATCTACCATGATGCTGGACAAATCACTTTATAAAAAATGTATATCTACCTTTACAATTGGTCCATTTACTTACTCACGTTTCCATAGTACCCACCTCATAGAGGTAGCTAAGTGGCAGCCTGGATACAGCAATAGACCTGGAGTCAGAAGGACCCAAGTTCAAAGGTGGCCACAATCACTAGCTGTGTAATCCTGGGCGGGTCATTTCTGTCCTTATTGCAAGTGCTTATTCCCTTCCCTTATTCCTTCATATTCTGCTAAGGATCAAATGTATGAGAAGTGCCATACATAGAAATATTACTTGATGCTCTCTCAACACACCTTAATCTCATTTCAATCAGATACAAAGACTCTGAGTGTGGACTGTGGCCATATATAAAAAACTCTCAATGAAGCAGTGCCAATTCAAGAGGATTTCCCCTATGTCTAGGTTTTTGTTTTCAGTCTTTTCAACAAGAATTCTCAGTAAATTTAAGAAATAGATTCTGAGTACAAGAGACAGGTTTACCAGAGATCATACAGAAAGATGACTGAAAAAGCTTAGGTTACTTCCAAATGGAAAGTGAGTTCTACATGCAACTCTGTTCCTATCCTCAAAACACGAAAAGACCCAGAGGAAGGTCTCTAATAAATTGGGACTAATTCCACACCTTTGGAACCTCCCAGTCAAAAGCACCCCTATCCTCCCAGTCTCCCAAGTTACCTGTCTACACCTTCCTTTACTCCTCTTCCCATATACACATCCTCAGTGGACATGCCACACTCATGATTTTGATGATTCCTTCTTACTCAATTACCACTTCTCACCTGAACTACTGCAATAGCCTCCTAAGGTCTCCTGGCCCCAAGAATCTTCCCTCCATCCTCCACTTACCTTCCAAAGTGCTTTTTCCCTAGCTCAGGCTTGATGCCACTCCATTACTCAGACTCCACTGAGGCCCTCTTACCAAGACCCTGCCTATCTTTCTAGCCTTATACATTAATCTCCCCTTCCCACATTCCCCAATTTAGCTAAGTGAGTGCTTTGTCATTCCTCACACTGTCCACTCCCATCTCCCAGCCCCTGCTCTGTTTCCCCCTACCTGGAAAGCATACCCTGTACATCTTAGATTCCTATCTTTCAGAATTCAACAAATAGCCTTTACTGATCCTAGCTAGAGTGCCCTTCCTCCCAAAATGACTTTTCTTCTTTTATTTAGTAGCAACGATGAGGACGATGAGAGTCAACACTTACATAGCACTCCTAGGTTGAAGAGGTGCTTTTATGCACCCCTTCGTTGTACTTAACATTTATGGGAGGCAGAGTGAACAGAAAGCTAGTAAGACCTGATTACAAGGTCTGTGGGTGTGACCCTGGACTTGTCACCACCTCTCAGACTAGCAGAAGTTTCCTGGCATCAGTAACATTACAGGTTCGGTCCCTCCCCCTATACTTTTATGTATAATGGAAGGTCATTTTTTGTCCTTTTATCATTCTACCTTCCCCTGCCTAATGGCACCCAGCACATAGTAGACCTTTATAATAAATGTCTGTTGATTGATTTCATATTGAGGATTTTGAGGACAAGAATGAGAATTCAAAGTGATGACATGATATAAATGGGTTGCAATCAACACTAGTAGAGGGAGTACATACTCCATGGGTGCAAGGACCCCTTTTCATCTTTGTATCCCCAGCCCAAGTATAGAACCTTGGGTGCATGTATACACACACACACACACACACACACACACACACACACACACACACACACACACACACACACACACACACAGTAAGTGTATTTATTGAAGTTCCAACTTGCAAAAGTCCAGAAATCTCTAAGCACATATAGGTTTTCCCTTTACTTTTTGGGTCAGAGGATATCACTCTGGGACCATGGGAAGGGACAAAATAATTAATAGAAAACCAAGGGCCAGGTGAAAACTTGGGTTGTAGTCATCTTTCCAAAATTAAAAAAAAAATCTGAGCCATTTCACTAGACATAAGCTCTGATGAACATTCCCTTCAGAGGCTCTTGGGTTGTGGATCAAATACCTTAAGATGTCATTGTTAACCAATGTGGACTTAATATCAAACCTCTGCTAGCATCCTACTGTGATTCCTCATTGTAGCACTGAGGGGACCCTGAGTACTCAAAGGCTGGTAAATAGGCCACAAGTTCTGGCAAGTCTTGCCCAACTGAAAAGGTTTCAAGAATAATCCAGTAATAGAATATATTTATTAAGGATTAGCCTAGTTAAGTTCAGAGAGTTATCATTAGGGTTAGCTGCAGAGCAGCGAATTATTTGCTCACACAAAGTTACAAACATTCTGCATCAGTGAAGGTGGTACCCAAACCAAAATAACAGATTGTAGAAGTAATATTAAAAACCAATGGTACTTTTAATTTTCCTTCCCCCTAAAAAATCTGAGCCAGTAAATGTAATTAGTATCTCATACATTTGCCCTGAAAGCTCATATTCAGGCCAAGGCTTATTTCTGGAGATAGCCAACAGCTAAAACTATCTCTAAGAGAAAACATCATGAGTAAACACGGGAAAAATGTGTTTTCTCCCCTATTTGGGGAAAAGTAAACACTGCATTTAGATCAAGGCAAGAGGCTTGTCCTGTCTTCTTTCTCCATTTCCACCTTAAGTTTACACTACCAGATGGCCAAGGAGAACCAGGAAAAACACCAAAGAGTGTAAGATGTTTATTTAGCAGCTGTTGAGCACACAGATGCCTTTACCAACTCTGTCTCATTAAAGCTCAAGATAACTTTTATAGCTAATGGTTTAAGGGTCCTATGTGCTTCCACACCTGAAAGTTCCAGCAGGGCATTTCTTCTGTGTCTTAGAAACATCTAAGCCACAGAACACTAACCTGCTTTGGAGATGAATACATAAATTTATTTTAAAGTAAAGAAAATATTTTCCAACTAATATAGCGATGAATAGGCAAGAAACAGGAGATAACATGCTTATTAACTATTACTCAACAGCATTAACTATTTAACATAATTAACTATGTTTTATATAAGTTACATATAATAGTCAATTATATATGTAGCACAATCATATTAATTAAATAATTTTTGTCCCGAGTTAGAGTATAATGTGCTACATGTATTACTTCACAGATATGTGATATTAATTTTGCTAAAGGCACTTTTGCATCATTTCATTACACCACAGAGACTGAAATATTTTCTATTTCTAAATTTCAGTAAAATAAGCAACAACATTTAAGACTAGAGTGGGTTTTAACAGCTTTCAGGAAAAATGATTTGCAGAAATGTTGCTTATTGAAACTGTGCCAAAGGGCACTTTCAAATAAAACTGATCATTTACCAAAGGCAATATTACACAATAACATTTTTAAAATGTTTTCTTAATAAGGGGATCATCTCTGGAAGCAGCAGAGCAATAATTACCTGAAGCTGCCAAATTCATTAGCTACTCTCAGATGCAAGGAACAGAGTTTATATAAATAGACCATATAACAAGTCTCACTTTGGCTGATCAAGCCTTCCCCTTCTCTAGAGAGAACTGAAAATTTCATAAACAAGTCTCATAACCAAAGCCCCATGGCCATCCATTCCTCATAACCACAAAGATTTATATTATATATAACAATTTGTCGATTTGTGTTCATGTGGGCACAACCTATAGAAACAATGAACAAAAGGTAAATACAGAATTCAACATTCACAGAGAGGAATTCATGCCAGGCTGAAGATGTTTTCATTTTCTGCTTACCTTGTATTACTCAGGCTCAATGGCACTGCCAGGCACAACCTGTTCAGGTTGCTATCTCTGGTGAGGTTTCTTAAGATTTTGAAAATGAACAGAGGTTGTTAGTGAGTACAGTTGGAAGACTCAGTTTAAGAACCCATCCTAGTCTTCTGATGCACTTGTAAGAAGCAGCAAAGCAGTTTTAAATCATCGAGTATTGACTTTTTATTATTAGTCACCGTTCATAATTTGTTTCAACCAAAAGACAATACACACAGCAGAATTCTAATGCATCCCATGTAAATGTTTACATCCATTATACTCCTCTCTCTCCTCTAAGACTTATCATTTTAAATTTTTTTACATCTCAAAAATATGTCTGCAATAATTAGAACTTCATCAGGCACCCCACTTGGAAAGAGCCTTTAATATTTTTTTACAGTAAAGGAGATGGGATGGGGCTTGATGTGAAATGGAACTTACAACATCATGAAAGAAAAGGGACTTCACAGGAACAAAGTGAAAGTTCACACAGAAAGGGGTTCAGTGGCTCCTTCCCCTGAAGCCCCCGAACAGAAAATAAAACACAGAACACACAAAGCTCAACAGCAGGTTTGTTTTTTAACTTTTTTTTTCTTTTTTTTAAAAACCTCCTCACTGCTCCATTTTGCAGCAAGAACCAGCCCTGTGGCGAGGAATGCGCTGCCTGTGCAAGCTGCCACAGCATTTCTTCTGTGGTTAAATGTTGAAGGCCTTGCGCAGTTGGCTGAGACCAGTCACTGCTATTGCTTCAAAAAGAATTGGTTCACATTCAGTCCACTAGTGCCCATCTCGTCTCCTCTCTTCCCTCCTCTCCCCAACCAGGGCTGGCTGCAAGAGGTTCGCCCTTCAAGCCTTGGCAGTTCCCTTCTGCAACACCCAAATTTGCAACCCAGCTTACATGAGTGCTAGCACAGGCGCATGTATGCGCGCGCGCGCGCACACACACACACACACACACACACACACACACACACACACACTCTCTCTCTCTCTCTCTCTCTCTCTCTCTCTCTCTCTCTCTCTTTCTCTCTCTTCTTGAATATCTATTTGCTGTTCTCCTGCTGTCGCTTGGTTCAGAACACTGAAATCAAAATACGTTCAAGTAGAAAAAACATTGGCCATTCAACCTCTTCCTTTCCCCCATGTATTCTCTTGGCTCTAATTATTTTCCAATACACAGTATAAGAAGGTAAGTTTAATCTCCAAGTCAGTACCCCCTAACTTATAATTCTTTTCAGAAGGGTATAAAAGTGGGAAGCATGTCATAAAACAGATGCAAATCATTACTCAAAGTCTTAATGACTAAATTCAAAATTCTTTCACACATTAATGGAATAAGCAAGGGGTAGAAAACCATAACTCATCCAAGCAAAAGGGAAAAGAGTATTCCAAATGTTACAATGAGGAATGTTTATTTAAATGAGGAAGATCTCATAGTCAACTGGTGATCTCGAAAGACTATGCCCTAAATATGACATAAAACATTCCATTACACTGTCCTAGCCATTTTGAAATAACAACAGTGGAGCCCTGTGGTAGAAATCTGTCAGAGAGAGCCATTCACAGTTTCATAAGCTTACTTAGAGGAATCCTCCCTTAGGACTGCTTCTGGGGAAAATGCAAGCTACTCTGGAGGAGAGAATGAGGTAAAAGTGCATGTGAAATTGTCCAAGGAAGTGTGTGGGCAAGCACAGCTCCCAACCCCAGGTTTTATTGAAACAGATTAGAGAGTATCTGGCTCCCTACAATGGTCCTCGTAGCTAAAAGGGCCTCCTCTTGGCTCTTCCTGAAATGGTACTCCTAAGGAAAGGAATCACTAAAATGCTGAAATGTTCAAGTGTTCACAGCAATTATGTCAATTCTTCTTTTAGCTGCAAGTCATTCAAAATGAGAGGAGAGCTAATCCAGGTCCCAGAAACTAAGGCACACTGAAGCTTCCCATTATCCTAACATTAGAAAGAGTCTTCACAACCATTAGCACCCTACACAGTTACTTGGCTGCTAATCCTTCAGGAAGGAGCTCTACCACTGGTCAGACAAGTTTGGGCAATATTTCTATGGCTTCCTCTGTCTCCAAATGTATTCATGCACGTCCAGATCAACACTCTCTTGAGTTAAGGCTAAGATATCTTTTTCCTTACAGACACATATATATAGAGGATCACACATGCTACTTCCTCTTGGAATTATGACCCACAAGAGTTGCTTTGTCGATATGGTTCATTCTTTCTAGGCCCGCTATCAGCTGTGTCCTATCCAGATAACAACTCTCATAAATTTTTTCAGCACCTCATCTCAGTTTTTCAACTTAAAAACACGTCACCTATTAGCAAGACAGCAAACAGAGCTACTACCACACAGGAATGAATTCCAATCAAGAAAGCCACACCTATTTATATGTTAATTCTAGCTCATGTTTCACAGCATCCACAACAGCATTGTGGGTGGGGAAAAAAAACCTTTATAACTTTCAAATGCAAAAGCAGACCGGTTTCCTCAAGTTTTCATGAGTCTACAATTTACCAAAGACTATATGCAAAGGTAATATCTGGATGCTTACTTAGTCAATCCTATACCAGTGGAATAAAAGTTCCAGCTGATTTTACTTTCATGCGTCATTCACATTAGCGTGAGTCCAGTCTGTCAGATAGATTAACAATATCCTAGCATCTGATACAGAACTAGGTTTGATAGGGTACTGAAAAATCTTTCAGCCCCAGACTGGTGGAATGAAGAAATAGGTTTTAACCAGTTTTAAGACGGCAGAAAAATTAGTTATCTGTACTGTACTCAATACAGTAGTGCTTATAAAGGATGAAAACTTCAAGGTGGGCACCACTTCCCCCCACTTCTTCTAGAGCCTGAAAGACACAGTACTCACATATTGAATGTACACAGTACACTCAACGTGTACTACAGGAGTCATCTTCACCTCATTACTCTTAACTCAATTCTAAGGTGCAGAGTTTAGTGATACATTGATCCTTTCTAAAAGGCACTCAGCATACCCCACTCAAAAGAGCTGCAGACCTTAGGTCCTTGGCCCACATGTTCATGAAAAAGTTTTCTCCATAGAGAGAACAGTAAACTATTTGTGAAACTCAGGATAAATGAATCCTATCCTATAGTCTCTATGTGACTTTCACTGACACAGGGGGCGAGGAAGCTACAAGGCTTCATTCCAACACCATTAAGTACAATATAGGAAAGATTTCTTTAACTGCATGGTCTTTATTTCAGTGCCAGTGTTACAGATACAACACAAATGTTCCAGTTAGAAGAAGGAATTCAAACGGAATGCCAAGGTCCAAGCCAGGCTCAGGAAATAAAAGGGAGGTTTGGAGTAATGGGGGAAAAGACTCTCCAGTGTGTTCTAGGATGAGTCTAGTATTTACTCTTCATGTGGGCAAAGGGGCTTTGTGTCCATTAGTCTGATCCTTACAACTGGTGCCACCTCTTTCTTACCTGTCTACCATGTTTAAGCAGCCAAGTCACTGGCTGGGATGGAAGGTTTAAAAGAAAAACTGGGGGGGAGGGGGTAGAGGTATGATAGCTGCTCGATTTTTCTTTATAGGTTGTCTACTTCGTAATTTAGGGGAAGAGATTTTGAAAACTGTTTAATTATACATGACTACAGTCAAGGGAGTGGTGAACAAAGGGAACTGGAAGAGCCTTGGAAAATTCTATCAGAAATAGAGCACCATGACTTTCACACCAAATCTCATCAGAAATTTTTTATCACGTCTGTCAAGTGTTTACAATAACCTCTCAAGGCCTGACCTGCTCTTGGTTATCATACAGCTAACGAACATACATGTGTGTGTGTCTGTGTGTATACAGCAATGCACAGAAAAGGCTACTAGGAACCTAATGCCTCTTTCAAACATTGGGGGAACCAAAAGAAAAAGGCAGGGCTCCCTCATGTCCTTTTGATAGATTTCCATCCTGAATGCCAGATGTAAAAAGTGCCTGAAGATGGTAACACAGCTAGTAAGGAATAATTATCCTTACTTCACCCACCCCACAGAGAAACAACAGCAGAAAGAAGGGGCAACCATTTGCTTCAGAGACAGAGCGAGTGTTTTCTTGCCATGAATTCCAGTCTTCTCCTCCAGACAAGCTGCATATTTCCTTAGGGACCCGGCGAATATTCTTTCTGGCTGTGAATGTGGGAGGGCTGGGGGGGGGGGGAGAAAAAAGGGAAGAAGAGGAAGAGTGCACAGTAGCCTCCTGAAGCAGCCAGCCTCAACTGAGGAGGAGAGGAGATTAGTCTTTTACAAGATATGCCTTGAGGTCAGCAGTAACTTTAGGAAATTCCTCCTCAGTAGCTCTCCTCAGCTCCTCATGCCCATGGTGCAGTTTGGGAGGGGAGGGTGGGAAGGGGGGCTTGCCAGGGATCACAACCTCCTTCCCAGAGTTCCTTCGATTGGGTAGGGCGATAGTAAGAATGGTGCCAAAGCCTCATTGCCAGGACTGAGGGGGAAAGTTGTTCACTTCAGCTAGATCCTGCATCGCAGAGCCCTTGTGATTATATGTAAGCTTGATCCTCATTCGGAGCTGCTGCTGCAAAGGTGCAGGGATGCGGGAAGAACAGGAGAGAGAAAAAAACACCCAACAATCAGGATCTTTCATTAAACACTCCTTTAAACACAAATGATACATGACAGTAACATGGCTGTATTTTAACCAAAGCGATGTATACAATTTTAGAATTTTCTCTCTTCTGTAGAAAAAAGGGGTACTGATGAAAACTACTATTACTTTGTATTGACAGGTACAAGCTAATCAATGCTCTCTACAGCACTGCAAGAAAATTTCTTCAGTTTCCATTTCAGCACAGCTTTAACAAAATAAAAGTTTTCCACATATCAGAGAAGCTAAGAAAATAAGCATATATTCTTCTCAAACCAACAAAGAAATGAGGGGTGGCTTAAATGAAATAAGGCTGAAGGTCTAAAATAAATTTACCATGTAGGTGTGTTCATTTTACTTAGAATATATAATTAGAATTTAAATTTAATATGAGATAGGAGTCCTGAAAGGAACAATTTTTTAAAAATCACAGGATCAAATATTTAGAGCTCAACAGGATCTTTGGCACTAATGAGTCTTCATTCTGCAAATGAGAAAACAGACCCAGAGAGTTTCAATGTCTTGGCCCAGGTCACCAAGGCAGCCAGTGGCTGCAGCGAGATTCAAACACAGGTCTTCCTAACCAAGTCCAGTCTTCCATTTATAGAGGCCAACTTCTGTACAGAAACTACCTCTTTCACCTCTCTGTTAAGTTTAGAGTTTTGAATACTGAGTTCTCAAATCCAAGCACTCTTACGTTCAATTGCCTTTTTTCCACATTCACTAGCTTTTCATGGTGAAGCTGTAGGAGAAAAGATCCAAAAAAGGAGAAAGCAACAGCACTACTAAATAAGGAGGAAAACTAATTACTAACACTGCCCATGTACACAACAGGTATTTGATAAATGTCTCTCAAGTAACATTGGTGGATTTTGCAAGCCTGATGAATTTTTTCTAAATATACATTTTATAAAATTTTGTAAAATATGCTACCATCAGCCAATCATTTACAGCAGCCATCTTCTTCATTTAAGAAGGCAAGCTTCTCAAAAATTCTAATTTGGTTAACGTTTCACAAAAGCACTCGTTTCTTCTATCTATACCTAAAAATCATTGTGGTCCATAAAAATGAAAGACACCAAAGTTTTCTTAAAATTGGACCATTAACACAAAGGGTCCCATTGACTGGGAGATGGCTGAACTATATTATATGAATATAATGGAATACTACTCTGCTACAAAAATGAATAATGTGGAATTCGGAAAATCATGACAAGTCTGGAGTAAACTGAAGCAGACTGAAGAAAGCAGACACAGAATACACACCCACACACACCACCCCCAATCATGTAAACAAAAAGAACATGAAAAGCAAGCAAGACTGGATCAGGTAGGTGTCAAAGAGGAGTACTGAACTTGGAGGTAGGAAGATCTGAGTTCAAATACTACCTCGAACCTTTATTAACGGTGTAGCCCTGGGCAAGTCATTTAACCTCTATATGACTCATTTTCTTCATCTGTAAAATGAGGATAATAATAGCTTATTCCTTACAGGATTATTATGAGGTTATGAGGATTAACTAAGATAATATTTGTAAAACACTTTGCAAACCGCTATTATTGGTCCTAGAGAACAGAACATGGAAAATATAACCCTCAGAAGAGATGTGGAGGCCTACAGATGCAAAATATGGCATGCACTGTCAAATCAGACAGAACTACTATGTCATTTGGCTCTGCTGAACTGTTCCATCAAGAACTAACTGTTGTAAAAAAACAAGGTATCACAATTTTTTAAGTTATACCATTAAGATTCCAAAAATATTTTTCAAAGTTTAGCATCACTTCATTGCTCTAGCACATAGTTTCTCCCTCTGTAAAATTACACGGTGTGATGTGATAAACTCTAAGGCTATAAGGAGCTCAGAGCTCTAGAATTCTTTGGTTTTAAGACTAATCTCCAAGAAAAACACTGAAATTAAAGCAGAAATTTAACTTAGGACACATAACTTGAATCTAGTTCAAAAAACCTCCTCTAATGGGCTGCTTACCTTCTGTGGGTTGAGAACTTTAATGACTTGTGTGATGGTCCCGGTGTTAAATGCTGGGACAATGCTGCTGCTAGGAGACAAAAGCTGCAGCTGGAATGTCTGAAAATAGGAATGACAGTCTTTAGAAACAGCAAATCATTCTAACATGGAAATGCATGATTGCACATGTATAACTTATATCAAATTGTTGATCATTGAAATGTCGGGGGTGGAGGGAAAGGGAGCGAGGGAGAGAATTTGGAGCTTAAAATTTTTAAAAATGAATGTTAAAATTTGTTTTTACATGTAATTGGGAAAAATAGAATATTCAAAAATAAAAAGAAATAGCAAACTATCTAATGTTATACATCATACAAACTTCACAGCAGAGAATGATCTGATCAGTCTTATAGAGCCACGTGCTTAGTTGAAGAAATTAAAAACCAGTACAGGATGACAGCTGATGATTCATTCATGTTTGCTTGTTCCCATGTTCTACCACCCAGGCCATGCTCCCCACTCCCATGAAATATCATGGGCAATCTGACACAAACTGGCCATCAGAATACATAACCTTCATCCCACTTCTACCATTAATGGTTAATAACCTCTTCCAGAGTTAGCACACCAGAAGAACTCTTTGGACATTCGTTTTCAAAAGCTAGTCAACCACTTGCTGTTTTTAAAGACCTTATGAGAATTCTTCTGAACTAAACACATGAAAAAACTTATATTAAGCAGACATTGGCTAAATGAATGCTAGATAGAACAGAATACAATTAATAACAGTGACTGAGTATTTCCATAGTATCTATTATGTGCCAGGCATTGTATTAAGTGCTTTTCAAATATTACTTCATTTGATCCTCACAAGAACCCTGCCTCATAAGTGCTATTATGATCCTATTTTATAGACAGAAGGGAAGTGACTTGTCTGGGTCAGATCTTTGTGACTCCAGGCCCAGTACTCTATCCACAATGCTACCAGCTGCCTCGTATATTAAAAGCTTCCCAAAACACTAAGCAAGTATTTTGGTCTTTGAAATAATAAAATATAATTTGGTACAATTTGGTGGATAGATAGATACAAAGATAAATGGATAGACAGATAGGAGAGGATTAGATTATGAGTATAAAAGAGCTACTCCATAAAAGAGTATGTCCGCTTCTTCTCCCTAAATGGAATATGATACGGCACGGTAGACTTGCAAACTGACACCCTAGGACCACTTTGGCAGGTGCACAACGACCACGTGTTAAACACTGGCCTGATAGTCTACACCGTACAATCTAGACTGCAAAGCAAAAAGTCTTGGAAAAACAGATCTGGACTGGGAAAGTGGAAGAAGAAGGAAGGAAGAGAAGAAGAAAGCTAGAAAAACTAGGTATTCTCTAGGTCACAACAGAACACTTTAATTACATGCATGTCAAAAGTATTTTATTTCTATGGTTATTACCATTAGACATTAACATTAGGGGCAGCTAGGTGGTACAGTGAATAGAGCGCTAGGCCTACAGTCATGAAGACCTAAGTTCAAATCCAGCCTCAGACACTTACTAGCTGTGTGACCCTGGGTAAAGTCATTTAATCCTGTTTGCCTCAGTTTGCTTATCTGTAAAATGAGCTGGAGAAGGAAATGGCATACCACTCACTGCCCAAGAAAACCCAAATGAGGTCACAGAGTCAGACATGACTGAAAATGACTGAACAACAACAAACATTAGACCACAAGCTCTCTGACAGCAGGAACTTTTTGGCCTTTCTTTACATTAGCACAGTGCGTGGCACACAACTTAATAAACCCTTGCTTGTAGGAAGAAGGATTTGTCACTCAGTGGTCCAAGAGATGATTAATTGGGCTACTATAACCACCTGAAGCTCTGAGAACTTCTAATCATATTGCATATTCACTAATCACCTTTTCCCTTATATGTAACATATTCAATAGAAAAGAATTGAGATATTCATGCTGGAATGTCTTTTCTCTACTTCGAAATTCTGGCTGAGTACAATGATCACTAAGACTACTAATTTTTTTTAACTGTAATGCAAATTAACTCTAAAAGTTCAAGCAATGTAATTTCTTTACCCCTAACATAATATTTCAAAATAGCAATAAAGAACATGTCTTCATCTCTAATATCAATAATTGGAGAATCTGGCAGAAACAAGTAAGGTCAGAATGGATACATGACCTAAACATAAAGGGAGATAAAAGAAAATTAGAACATGGAACATATCACCTATCAGACTTATGGGTATCAGATTTATAAATAAGCAAGAGACAGCACTGTGAGATGTAAAATGGCTAATTTTGATTACACTATATTAACAAATTTTTATATGCATAAAATCGATGTAGTCAAAATTATAAGGAAATCAGAAAATCAGGAGGAAAAATTTATAAACACTTTCTCAGATAAAGATCTATCTCAAATATGTTGAGAATTTTGTCAAATTTATAAGAATGACTCATTGCCCAATTGATAAATAGTGAAAGGATATGAAAAGGTAATTTTTCAATAAAGAAATCAAGGTTATATACAGTCATATGAAAGAATACTCTACATCATTACTGATTAGAGAAATGCAAAATAAAACAACTGTGAGATATTATCTCACACCTATCACATTGGCTAAAATGACAGAAGGGGAAAATGACAAATGTTGGATGGGCTATGGAAAAATTGGGATGCTAATGCACTGTTGGTAGAACTGTGAACTAATCCAACCATTTTGGAGAGCAATCTGGAATTATGCCCAAAGAGTTATAAAATTGTACATACCCTTTGCCCTATTTCCCAGATCTTCAGGGAAAAAGGAAAAGAACCTACATGTTCTAAAATATTTATATCAACTCTCTTTACTAAAGAGAGTTGGGAACCAAAAAACTGGAAATTGAGGAGATGGCCATCAATTGGGGAATGGCTAAACAAGCTGTTGTATATGAATGTGATGGAAAATTACTGTGCTGTAAGAAATGATGAGCAGGTTGATTTTAGAAAAACATGGAAAGACTTGCATGAAAAATGAAGAGTGAAATAAGTAGAACCAAGAAAACACCGTATACAGTAACAGCAATTTTGATCAAAGAATACCTGTGAATGACTAAACTCTTCTTAGTATAAAAAATATTCAAATCAACTACAAAAGACCTATGAAGAAAGATGCTATCTACCTCCAGAAAAAGTAATGAATAGAAGTATGCATAGTATGGTTTGATAGACAGATAGACAGACAGACAGACAGACACACAGACACACAGATAGATAGATAGATAGATAGATAGATAGATAGATAGATAGATAGATAGATAGATAGATAGATAGACAGACAGATCTGTGTGTCAAATGGTGACCTCTTGTGCAGGGTGGAGAGAGAGGGAGACAATTTGGAACTTAAAATGTAACCAAAAAAAACACTAAATTAAAAATTTTTAAATAGTTGGAAGAAACTCTGATGAGATCACAGAGCCATCTGAGTAACTATCAATGTAATTTAAATGGGTCATAAATCCATAACATTAAGTTAAACAAAGTTTGTTTTGATACAAAATCGAAACCAACACCTTAACAAGTACTCCAGGTGAAATAAGTCTTCTAATGTTTATCCACCTGAGCAGAGAGAAAGCCTTAGATGGTCCCCCACCCTTAACGATAAATGGCCCAGTGAGAACACTGGCATCATTCGCAAAATCCACTGGTGGGAACTCCAGGACTGCCCCTCTCTTGATAAAACCCTATGAGGGAATAAAATGCCTCAGCTCCAACAGCACAGGACCACTCCACCCAGAGACAGCCCAGCACTGATGGTACACGGGAAGAAGGCTCCTTGTGATGTGGGGGGAGTCTGGGGGGAGCATTTCCCTCCTCTCCCCTTTCACTCCTTCTGGTAACACTATGCTGTGGGTGTGTGCCCTGCTGTGCAGCTGGCCTGGACTGCCCAGTCATTCCTGTTCCTGTCACTCCCCTAGCAAGGCTAATAAATCATTGTTGTGGGTAGCACTTCCAGCTGTCCTTTCCTTGCAAGATCTGAACCCACTGTCAAGTTTAGCCAGTCTACCACCCTCTACACCAAAAGATAAAAAAGGTTCTACCATACCTTTGGTACTGCAGCTTGGAAAACAAAGTCTGTCATGTCCAATTCTGTGCTGTTGGAGGCCTGTATCGTGATCACTGTCACACTGGGGTTAGTGTTGGACCTTTCAAAGGTGAATTCTATTTTTAAACCATTCTTACTGTACGCTGTGATGGAGGGGATACCTAGGAGAGCACAGAAAGATCTGCCTAAGGGTGAGCTGCCTGACGTCTTCAGTCCTTCCCTCTGCTACTGCTCAGCACCTTCGCGTGGCTCCAGCCCTGTTTATGATCTTACCTGAAGCAATATCATTGAAGAGAGGCTGTGATGAAAGCCCATCCAAGAGGAAAGGAGGCTGTGACAGCTGTGGGACTGAGGCAGGTGCAGAAGGTGGAGCACCTAAAAGAAACACAGCCAGTGAAAGGGAAACCTTAGCCAGGAACCACAGTTCCTAAGGTGAGATACCCTCTAATCAGAATTTTACAAATAAAAAGCAAATGAGTAAGATGTGGATACCTGTATTAAGGGAATATATATTAAGTGACCATATGTGTATGTGTATGTGTATATGTGTATGTATATAGATACATATATACATACATATATACAGAGAGAGAAAGAGTGTTCATAATTCTAACAAGAAGATAAGTCAACAAAACACAGAAAACAGAGAACAGCAATATGGCATAGTGACTGGCCTGAGAATCAGGAAGACCTATGACACAGACTGAGAGTGTGAGACCTTGGCCAAGTTATCAGTCCTCTTAATGTCCCAGGCAACTCTTTTGAGACTATATTATGCAGAACAGGTATCAATCTGCATGGACAGGAGTTTCTTCACAAATGAAAAAACATGCCTAGTCAAAACAATTAATTTTAAGGAAGAAAATGTCAAAAATCTTTAAATTAATAGAAAAACTTCCTTGCAAAAGTATAAAAGCAAAGGACAACTTATGGAAACAAAACTAAGGACTTAAGGAAAAAACAACTATCTTCCCATAAAAAAATACAGAAAAGGCATACAGCTGGATAAGAAAAGAAATGCACAAAGGTCTAACACAGATAAAAATGACTGAATACAAAATCTAAGCAGATTAATAATAATAATAATAACAATAATAATAACTAAGGGCTAGCACAATGGGCTTTCAGGTTTGCAAGTGCTTTCTATGTTACCTAATTTGATCTCCACAACCATCTGGGGCCTAGGGGCTGTTAGGTGCTATTATTCTTATTATTCCCATTTTATAGATGAGACCCAGAGAGGTTAAGTGACTTGTCCAAGTCTATAATGGCTAAGAAAATGTCTGAGGCCAAATCTGAATTCAGGCCCTAATGACTCCAGGTCCCATGCTCTGCACTGTGATGCCACCAGCTGCCTTGTTATGGAGGGACACCAAGGAACAAAGGTTTACATTCCATTAAACACAAATTCCTTTACAAATGATTGGAAGCAAATCTTAACCCTAATCACGTGCTCCCTTTGGCTTTCCTTATTATTCTAGAAGCATGTATACCACAATGGGGGGAAAAAAACTAAAGCCCAAGGGGCAGCTGGATGGTGCAGTAGATAGAGCACCGGCCTTGGAGTCAAGAGGATCTGAGTTCAAATTCAGCTTCAGACACTTGGCACTTAACTAGCTGTGCGACCCTGGGCAAGTCACTTAACCCTAACTGCCTCACCAAAAAAAAAAAAAGAAGAAGACCTGAAGCCCCAACATATAGCTAGTACACCAATCCTCCAAGAGCCACCCCAGGTCTTAGTTCCTCTCTACAGCGGTATCAAATAAACTAATGGTATTAATCCAGATTTTTGGAATATGCTAACAGAAGAAAATCAAACAGAAATCTATTACTCTAATTTTTCTAAAATATACAAAGTTTATTCTTTGTTTTTCCCCAATTCCATTACGAAAAATTTTCAATCAGTCAGATCACTGAAGCACACTTGTAGTGACAATTTTAACACTGACAGAAAAATCAGGGCAATAAATGAGTCAACTTGCAAAAATGAAAGGAAACTTTTTTTAAAGGTTTAGAGCAAAAGGTAAACAGCAAAAATAGAAAAATCTGGCCCTTTTTTAAATGGAAAGAAAAATAAAATACAAAGGGTATTAAAAAAGTTACTTTTTTTTTTTTTAGGCAATTGGAGTTAAGTGACTTGCCCAGTGTCACACAGCTAGTAAGTGTCAAGTGTTTGGTCTGAGTCTGGATTTGAACTCAGGTCCTCCTGACTTCAGGGCTGGTGCTCTATCCACTGCACCACCTAGCTGCCCCCAAAAAGTTACTTTTTAAAGTCCATCTTCAATGTACAAAATGAACTGGACAAAGGAACAAGTAATAACGATTGGACAGGAAACCAATCATGAATAGTACAGACCTAGAAATAGTGCCTCTATGGAGGCAACAAGCCACTGTGGACAGAGGGCTTGCCTCAGGAAGACTTGGGCTCAAGTTTCACTTCTGACACATTCCAAGACACTCTCTCATCTAAATTGCAAAGCAGGTCCTGAGATCTGCCTTGGAGAAGACATTCATAACAAAAACGAAATTACTGATCCAGTCCAAGAAAACCCATAACCTAGAACACCTGGGATGTCTCAAGGGTAAGAACTTAATCTGAAAGCAGAAGTACCAGGAGAGAGATTAAATGACTTCTCCAAGTTTTTCCAACCCTAGTGGAATTTTTCCTCTTTAGACAATCTGAACTGGCCAGTCAGTCTCATGCAGGCGTCATCTTTCAAGGACTGACATCAGGAAAAGGACTCAAATGTAATTAACCTAGATATGCTCGACATCCCAAACAAAGCTGTATCAACAACTCCAGCACAGCTTTACCTGTCAGATTGAGGTCTCCCAGCAAGTCAAGAAGCTCTCCCCCAGCAGAAGCTGGTTTACTTGTAGGTACAGTTGGAATAATGGGTGTTATATCATTTCCTCCCAGCAAATCTAATAAATCATTAGCCTAAAAAAAGAAATAACACCATAGCATGAGAGTCAATTGACTAATCCACGTCTATGTAGCCAGAATCCTGGGCACCCACTATGGTATCTTCCTGAGATGTTTTTGTACTATCCCAGTGCCCAATAAAAAAACTAATTAGCACTTGAACACTTGAAATCAGGGATACACACATACACCGCCCCCCCAAAGAGGTCATTAGTGCCTAGTCCTCTGCCTGACACAGCTATTATATAACACACTACTACCATGTTTAATGCTAGCTAAAGCTGAATGTAATTAATTACAAAGTCAAAATTTATTTCGTTGTACACATACAGATTTCAGCTCAGGCAAGTACAATTGAGACTATGGAAAATAAACTTGGATGTCCCTGGCCTAAGGCAAAGCTCTTTAACATTAATGCTAAAAGATTGAACCAACAACCAATCCAGAAATACTGAAAGATATTCAGCTAAGAATAATAAGATGCATCTTTTTAGGAGCTAAGATAATATTATCCCAAGGCAAAAATAGCCTCTCTATTACCTGGCTGGTTGGCTGTGGCCCAGAGGGCGGTGGCTTTGTCTCCAGTGGTGCTGGTTCTGTCTCTCCATTTGTCTGTACCATATCAGTGGGGCCATTTGTGGTCACCTTTTCCATGACTGGCATTCTCTCAAGCAAGGCTGACCTGGAAGAACCAGAAGTCCTTTAACTCTGGGCCATTAACCTGGATTCCCAACCCAAAATAACTAGGATAATGAACTGAAGCAAAGCATGGATAAGTTACTACTTCAATCCTCTAATGAAATGGCAGCTACAGTACTGGGATACATATCTAGATTAATGATTTGCAAAAAATCTAGTTTGTTTTAGTTAAACTGTCCATCAGAATCCTAGAATTTGTACTTTGCTAGTGGAGGATTTAGGGATGGAACAGTAAAAAAAACAGGTAAGTAGGCATTAACAGTATTAAGACTCTATTGTATCTATAAACATCTATACATAGACACACACATAAATATAACTTAATAAATGAGTATCACACATTTGAACTGGAAGGGATCTTAAAGGCCATCCAGTCCAAAACATAAGGAAGTCTGGTGACTTGTAGAAAGTCACAAAGTCTAACCAAATGATCCGCTCAGATTCATTAGAAACACATGTATTACTCACCTCATATGGTCATATTTCTTGAAAAGTGCATTATACTCTACTGCCCTCTGCTGGAGCTCCACATCAATGCTGCTTCCATAGATGGAAACTACTTTCTTAATTCGGCTACAGAAAAAAGTAACAAATGGGCTAACTAAATATACAAGAGAAATGTACTCCTGGATCATCTCTGTTACAAACAAGGGGGAAAATGTGAACTAAGAGTTTTCTGTATAAGTGGTAGATTAAAAAAAAAACTAGTCAAATAATTACTTTTTCACATTATTTTAAACTCGATAACGAAAGTCTCTAATTACTTAAAATATCACTTTGTTCTCTTCACTTTCACTTGTTCAATAACCATTTTACTCATCATTCACCAGAATTCTATTTTAAGAACAAGGCTAGCTAAGTCCATCAGAAATAATTTCCCAGATTCTACGCCTTGCTCCTCAAAAGAGGAACAAAAGCACCAATTATTGCTTCCACAAAACACGGTTTCAAGGAACCTAGGATTTACATAACTGAAATATACATTACAAAAGAAAGGTTTGCTTTCAAAAACCAATCAACCATAAGCATGCTTGGTACGTAACTGTTAACACTTAACACTTAAAATTAAATCTTTTTAGCATGCTTTTCTAAAAAAAAAAGACATGAAAAACTGAAGTTTGTCCAAAATACCTCCAGCAGAAACATGGTTTTTATGCAGCTGCTAAGGAAACTCAACGACTGAAGAAGGTAAAGCAAATATCACTCTTCCCTCTATCAAGGCACTTCGAATAAATGAAATAAATGTTTATTTAGGGGCAAGGTATTTTCCCCCAATTTGTGTTTGGTGTTGGCTCCATTAATCAGGAGCCTTCTCTTCCCTGAACACTCACTTAACGGTACAGCTGAATCGAGTTGAGAGCTTCATGATGGCAGTGAGAGCATAACCCCGGGTAACAGATGTAGACATGTTAGAGATGAGAACACTTTCCAAGATATCAAGCACTTCATCCTCTGTAACCTGGACAAAACGCAGACTAGTTAGAGAAGACCAGAATCCAGATCATGAGTTATGAAAAGTGCCTCACATGGCAAACACTTCTGTAACCATCTTCTGCTGACCATAAGACCAAATAAATTGCAGAAAAAGCTGTCTACCAACGGGTAGGGGAAATTCTAGATGCAGGAGGTCACAGAAGGGCACATTCCCCAACATCTCCCTTTAGACAGACCTCTCAATGATGAGGCGAAGGACAAACTGCATTTGAATACAGAGTTAGTTTTTGTGCAGGTAGAGCTTCTCTCTGGCCAATCGCTCAGCATGCAAAAAGACACCAAATCTGGGGGCAGTGGAGTCAGGAGGACCTGAGTTCAAACCCAGCCTCAGACATTTGACACTTATTAGCTGTGTGACCCTGGGCAAGTCACTTAACCCCGACTGCCTTGCCACAACAAACAAACAAAAAAAGACACCAAGTCTGGCAGACTAAAAACAGGGCTTACTAAATCCAATTCTTAAAAATTCTAAGTGCCTGCTATGTAGCAGCACCACAAAGGACCCATAACAAATAAAAGCCCCCAAAGAATCGAGTTGACAACTCATCCCCAAACTAGAATCCAGGGAGGGCATCATGACTCTCCTCTCAGCCACATACCATCAAAGACTTTTAGCCTTTCTGTAGGACTAGCAGTACCTGAATGGGCTCTTCCTCTTCACACTGACCAGACACAAGCAGGTCTCCATATTCACCTATACACCAGGCAGCTACTTGCACCAAAGGTTGCTGTCAAAAAGAAGGTGAGTTTGTGAGAGTATTCAATTCCTCAATATAAGATTTAATGTAAAATTATCAGTTTGTTAACTAAGCATATTGATAAAAAAAACAAACAAAAGCACTCAGACATGAAAGGTACCTCTAAAAGAGAAGGTATACTAAAATAAAAAGATTCCCTTAATAGTAAAATCCAGTTAATGCAAAAAGGCAAAGGAGACACTTACTTGGGAATAATCACCAAGAATGGCTTTGTAGAGGCGCTGAACAGTGTAGGCATGCATCTCTACACTATTGGTTATCAGCTGAATCAAGTTGGGGACAGCATCATCACGGACATAACTCCCTGCCTAAAAGAAAACCCAGGCATTTTACCCTAGACAAATAAGCTCAGGAGTAATATGGCTGTAGGATGAAGGAGGCCCTTTTGGTTCTCTTTCTCTTACAATTCAGACCAACACAATGTTTTGCTTTATATATAAACTCTACATTCCTATTGCCCACTACTCCCAAAGTCCTACTTCAAGTCTAAGCCTCTCCCTTTTTATCAAAAAGAAAAAAAGTACTCCTCCTTTCTCAGAAGGAATTCCAAAATAAGAAATTAAGATTTTAAGATATGTCTTTTCTATATACAACTAAAAACATGGGAGTGAATTCTAAAAATGTGAAAACATTCATTCTTTTGAGGGCCAAATCACAATACTACAGTCTAGCTATGATTAACATCGTTGTGAGAGTCAGAAAATTATAAGAGCTATAATATTATAAAGCAATAAAATGACATTTTGACTGAGCGGGACTCTTACATAATTTAATATTTATTGGAGCCCTTAGGTGAACTGAGACTAACCTTCTACTAACAAATTTCATTTATAGAGGTCTCTCAGTAGAAGTCATAAGCTTGTATTTAATAGTATCCACATACTTATTCAGTCAACTTTTTGACAAATCATTTAACAGACATGGACTGAATCTTTCTTCTTGAAAATGAGCTAAACTGGGGCAGCTAGGTGGTACAGTGGATAGAGCACCAGCTCTGGAGTCAGGAGGACCTGAGTTCAAATCTGACCTCAAACACATAACACTTACTGGCCGTGAGTTTAAAAAAAAAAGTCACTTAACCCCACTGCCTAGCAAAAAAAAAAAAAGAAAGAAAGAAAATGAACTAAACAAACATTCCAGAATCTCTGCAAAATACCACAAAGCAAAAGGCCACTAAAAAAATTCATTCTAAACTTAAAGCACAAAAATCTAATTTACATAAATTTTTAGAGCTGCTGCTTACCGTTGTTAGAACACGCATAATTGTGTCTATATGCCATCGTTTGGACGGTGCATACCTGAGAAAACAATGGCACAGGGTGAATACTTCTATGTTGCCAAGTCACAGCACAGTTTCAGTCATCTAAGGATTTCTTCCTTGGAAATATCCCGAGTCATTTAATTTCCAGATCTGGCAGCTAGCCTTGCCTCAAAAGCTGAGGAAGACGTATATCTGAATTTGGCCAGCTCACACAATACTGCAGTGGAAGCCAGTCAGTTAAAAATGGAACTCCCTTCTCTGCAACTTCTCAAGGAAAAATGTTGGTATCTGGCCGTGAGTTAAAAAAAGAAAACAAGACAACAGAAGACAAGGGACTATGTCTATACCTAGATGGTACTAAGACTAGAAACTCATTCACTAAACAGAGAATGGAAAGGAAGAGAAAAAATATTACTTTCTTTACAAATCCTAACATACTATTCCCTGAATTTTGAAGGCAAGAAACAACTTAGGCCTGTTAACCTTTCTGTTCTTCATGGGCCAAGAAATTTAAATAAAACAAAAATCATACATGGTGGCTTTTATAGCACAGTAAAAAGGCTCCTCCCTCAAAATACTTAAAAAGTGTTAAATCCTCCAATTCAATATTAAGCACCTACTATGTGCTAGACACTAAGATACAAAGACAAAAAACGATGCAGCCCCTCTTCACAAGCAGATTACTTTCTATTGGCATAAACAAAGTGTATACAAAGTAATTTGGAGAATCAGGAGTGTACTAACAACTAGGAGGGAAAAAGAAACCTCTCCTGCAGGAGGTAGCTCTTGAACAGAACCTTGAAAGGAACTCAGAACTCCAAGAAGTTGAGGTGAAAGATAAAACATCATCTGCAGATGACAAACAGCAAGAAACCTATTTTACCCAGAACATAAAATAAGTGAGGAGGAATCACATGATATCGGTCTGGAAAATAAGGCCCAATATCTCACAAAGTAGAAAGCTGGAGAATAGAGACTAAATTTACATAAGGTCCTATCAAAATCAGGAAAAGGGCAAGCTATTGCAGCTGTCTTTTACCTAAATTGGCACTATCAAAATGGAGCCTTACTTTTCTGCAGCAAGGAAGATTCCAGATGCACAGTCTGCCTTAAATTCTGGCTCACAGGAATCCAAAAAATATAGTAATTCCTTCATCATACCACGGATATTATTTCCATTTACCAGAGCAAAACTTAATTCCATTGCACGCCTTAGAGGGAAAAAAACAAAACACAAATGCTGAGAGATTATTATGGGCTTCATTTCATTTTTATTGGTTATAAATCCCAAGTTCCAACAAGTGGATTCATTCTCAAATTTCATTTTAATGAACACTTTGTCATAAAACAATACCAGCCCCCAAATGCAAAAGAAGAAATTTGATTTCTTTCTTTCGTAAAAATTGAGACCACAGGATTAACTTCAAACAGCCCCTAATGGGCACATGCTTCCATTTCTGCGTCCATTTAAGACAGGGGAATGAGCTCACTAGTATATTCTGTGGTAGTGAAGTTCTTAATGTTATAATACAACCCTGAAATGTACATAAAAAGGCTGCCAATCTAATGGTATCATACTCTGTGTGCTACCTGAAAAGGATAAATGTTCACTCGCTTACTTGGGAGAAATAGTGAGGGTTTTCCATTAAACAGAGCTAAGCCTTTACACAGAAGTATATTTCTTAACATAGCTCTTTTCATATGTAGCCAATAACAAAGAACAGGTTATCTATTTATAAACTAACTTTTTTTTTTTTGGTGAGGCAATGGGGGTTAAGTGACTTGACCAGAGTCACACAGCTAGTGAGTGTTATGTGTCTGAGGCCACATTTGAACTCAGGTCCTCCTGATTCCAGGGCCAGTGCTCTAATCCACTGCCCATCTAGTTGTTCCTTGAAACTAACTTCTTTAAGGAAGGTGAATGTACCTTTTTTTACTTTTGAACTTCAAACATGTACTAAGAAATCAACAAAGAATCTTTCCAAGGCAAATTTTGGCTGATCAACACATATGATCTGAAAGATTATTCTTAAGCTAGGTTCTTTAGAATTTATTTCTAAGTGCATATAATCATCTAAATACAAATAATCATCTAAGCGCAAATTTACCGAGAAAAATTCACTGTAGACTAGACCAGGATTAAATTCTTCCTCAAAAAGCAGATAAGCTAATAACTGCAATGACTTGCTTTGACTCAGTGCTTTCAACATTAACTCCTCAGGGCATCTTTCTAAGAAATACAGCTGTTTCCAGTACTTTGGGGTGCATGTCTTATCATAAAAAAATGTGTGCTGTCAGCAGCTTGAGTCTCAGCATTGTGACAAAGCACTCAGCCGATGGATCACTCAAAGTTTTCATCCTCCAACACACAAAGCACAGTAGAATCCACTGAATATTAGGCCACAACTAGCACTATCTCTTTTTATTCTTACGCTTCACAGCCTTGTGCCCTAAGGGAGGGGAAGAAGGGAATAAGCATTTCTATAGCAGCTGTTCTGTGCCAGGCACTGTGGCACAAACATTACAAATACTATTTCATTTGATCCCCTGACAACCCTGTGAGTCCAGCACTATTATCATTCCCATTTTACAGATGACGAAACTGAGGCAAAGAGGTGAAATGACTTGCCCAGGGTTACACAGTTGTTACATATATGAGGCTGAATTTGTTCTGTTTTGTTTTTTTGGAGATAATTGAGGTTAACTGACTTGCCTAGGGATACACAGCTAGTTAAGTGTCTGACACTGGATTTGAACCCAGGTCCTCCCAACTCCAAGGCCAATGCTCTATCTATGCACCACCTAGCTGACCTATGAGTCTGAAATCTGAACCCAAGTCTTCCTGACTCCAGGCCCAGTGTTTTATCTGCTGCACCACCAACTGCTTCTCATCAACTCTGGCCACTTGGCCAACTCTGAATAAGAACATTAATACTCTTGTATACAATATTGTTCATGTGCTAGTAAACCAATGAAATCTCCCTGTAATCCCCCTCCCCAGTTTGTACTTAAAAAAGAGATGAACCCTATGTTCTGACCTATATGTGGAGTAATGGATAGAGTTCTGGACTTGGAGTCAGAAAAGCCTAGGTTGAAATTCCATCTCTGACACTTAATAGTTAAATAACCTGGGCAAGCCATTTGGCCTGTGCCTCAGTTTCCTTATTTGTAAAATGGGGATAATATTACCTCTGAAACTGACTCAAAGGACTGTTTTAAGACTTAAAATGAAATAATAGAAAATATTTTGCAAACTTTACAAGGGCCATGTAAAAGACAGTCATCATTATTAATAAGATTTTTTTAAGAGAAATCAGAAGCCATCGATGCACAAGATGTCTGAAATAATTTCCTCCAAAGCATTACATAAAATACCATGCATCACCCATCCACCTCCCTCCAAGCCCTACTACATAATAATACTCACTGTATATTTGTATAATTTAGCCCAGAAACAAATGAAAAAAGTTTTTCCATTCATTACCGTTTAATTGAAACATCGAGATCCTTCAGGCAGTCCACAATGGTGCTTCTATGCCTCTGTACTGCATTATGATCTGTCTGCACCGTCTTCAACAATGATGTCAGAGCTACATACCTAAGAACAGACAAAACAAATCAGAGAAAGTGCTTTACAATCCAAGATGGGGCTGGTTTTTCTCTGTCCGCGTCATGGCACTGATCTGACTAGTGATGCTATCAAAATAAGGGATATTTTACAGATTGCTAGAAAACTTAGGAAAGAGTGATTGGCCAAAATTAACACCTGAGATCAAGATATTATTCTACTGTGCAATAAAGACAGCTAACAGAAGCCTGATTATGACTTATTTACCTTGGGTTTATATTCATGATTCAGTTCTTTAAAACCTCTAGGAGTGATAACTCAATTCTCTCAAATTCTACTAAATGGTAAATCGTGGTTCATGTGAAACAGATTTCAGCTAGCCTTTCTACAAGGCCTTAATCCCAGAAAATAAGATTCAAATGGAACTTAAGTGTCAGGTCATAAACTACAGCCAAATACACGAGGAAAAGAAATAAAAACAAAAGCAATATTGACTCACCAACTTTTTAAAAGCACAGATCAACAAGATCACTTCTTAAATCTGCTTCCTGGAGGTTATTTCCTATTATAATCAGTACTACAAATGTGTGGTAAAACTTAAATGTTCCTGATATCTTAAAAGATAGAATAAAAGGATCAAAACAAAATCATGAAGTATGAGTCCAATACCTGAGAAATTTGACTTACCTAATATTTTTGTCATTGTTCAATAAGAAACGACCCAGGATATTTATGGCTAATACCTGGAAAGAAACAGGTACAGCTTGAAGATCGGAGAAAATGAAGTATTTCACAATACTGCTTTGAGACCCTTAGAGATCCTAGCATTTCTAAACTGCTACTGCTAGCATTAAAAGTCCAAAGGGAACACCATATAAAAATCAATGTTATTAAATTCCATTTCATACATATATGCATAAATACATATACACATGGGTGAAGGACTGGATTCCTTATAAATTGTAAGGCTCTCCAGATGTTTCTGTTTACAGATGACCCTGTTACACTGGACCCCAAAACAAAAAGTCCTGTTCCCTCCAAAGTGAAATCTAGTTATCAGGAGAGCAGCCTACCTACCCACAGAACAAAAATAAAAGTAGATTAAGAATAACTACTGGCCAAAACAACATGCAGTTGCACAGACAACCTGCTAAGTTGGTCCATTAGTGTATCTATCTTGTATAGACATTATCCACAGACATTAAGTTGGGTCCAAAATTAAAAATTACGAGGGGCTGAATTGCCCTTGGGATACTGCATAATGCTTTACATGACCCCAAGTTTCAATCTGAAACAAAGGACCAGCTTTTTAACAACAATATTCTTCCAGTGATGCTACAAATCATGGAATACCACAGTGTCTGAGAAATTCATGTTAAGGGTCACCCAAAAGGTATGATGAGTATAAGCAAGCTACGATGCACAATTACCAAAGAACTACACATAAGAAGAGATATAAAGGATGCCAGAGGATATTAACTGGAAAACAGAAGATAACCAACGAACAGTCTATGTGTTCCATAATGGCATTTACACAACGTCAAGCAATCTAGAGGAAGATTCCTCAGCACATGAAATGGACCCTGTGGAGTGTCTATTGAAGGACGTGGAGAAGAGTTGTACAGAAGAGGGCATAGATTGCAAAAAGTATCCACACACCAATGAGATCACAGATCCATATGAGAACGTGTATACACGTGTGTGTGTTTGAGAAACAGCAACTGCAAACACTAACACTCTAAAAACTTCAGTAATATTGTTAAAAAATATTTTTTTAAGAGCTAATAGAATTTAGATTCACATTTCAGTTATCACATAGCTACTCCTAGAAAGAACTCTAAATGTTTTCCTGACAACGTATAGCCCTAAATCTTATTTTGCCCAATATTTTCAATAATACCATATTAAATTCAGTTGTAAGTCTTCAATGGGGGAAATGACACGTCAGGTATCAGTAATGTAGATCCTCTATAATGGAAAGACCCATACCTTATGTCAATTTTCCAGCATTACTTTGGTCATTAACAGCTCCAAAGACACTAATGACTACGTAGTTCATTCTAAACTAGAAGCCTTGCTGAAAACAAGATAAAAAAAACATACTCTTAGTCCACTCTCTGACTTGATGTCCATAATAGTCAAAACCGTTTCATAGAGAATAGCGTTTCCTACATTTTTACTAGTCTCCGTATTGGTGGCAACCTGAAAAAGACAAAAAGAAAAACATATGATCTGAAGAAACGATGCCCATTACCGTATCTGGAGGCATTCAGTTTGAGACTGCCCAAAGCCTACTAAGTATCAATACCACAATCTCCCAAACGGACAAGAAGGTTGAAGGGTTTCCACTCACCTGTGCCAATATATCATTCATTGCTTCACTTGAGTCATCATCATTTCGCCCTAGAATTCTTAGTAACCGCAGGATTCGCACCTGGTGTAAGTACAAAGAATGCCAACGTATTATGCCAAAAAAGTGTTTATCCTGGAACTCCATCATAGTGCAAATTTCAACAAGAACATTGAAAAAAGGAGATACAAAGTGTCACATCTTTAAGAAGGCTTAAAAATAATCTTTACAAATGGCATGCATGCTTCTTCTCACAATGGAAACTCATCTCGGATCAGCTAGGTGGCACAGTGGATAGAGCACCAGCCCTGAAGTCAGGAGGACCTGAGTTCAAATCCGGCCTCAGACACATAACACTCACTAGCTGTGTGACTCTGGGCAAGTCACGTAACCCCAATTGCCTCACTAAAAAAAAAATAAGTAAATATTTAGAAAACCTCATCTATTTCTCTACCTCAGCTTAGGATAAAGAGAGCACACACTCCTAGCAGCTCATAACTGCTACCAAAACAGCCAATGTCCTAACCTCTGTCTATGGTGACTAAAAGCCATCATTACAACTACTGAGTCATCTCTTTTATTCGTTGTAGTAGCTGAACACTACATTCAAGTTAATTCACTTAGCAATGCCATCTTAGTGACCATTTACCAATTTAAGAAATACTTCAATATCTGAATCAGTTAATAGTCAAATTGTCACTCTTTAAAAACATGGCACAAAAAAAAATAAAAATAAAAACATGGCACAAGATAAAAGCTTGCTTCATGCCTGTGTTTTAAAGTTTACCAAGTGCTGTCCTTACAACAATCCTGTGAGGTAGGTATCACCATTTTACAGAAAAGCAAACTAAGGCTTAAAGTGGCTAAGCTCAATCTGCCAGGAAAAAAATAAAATATTAAAGAGCTATTGCTTAATTGTCTACATTTGAAGAACATTTTTATCCTCACCTGTAAGAAAGGGTCACTGATCCCAGACACGTCATGCTCTGGTGAATATCCAGACATGATAAGGTTCTTTAGAATACGAACTAACTGTGGTACAAGCTGCAGAAAATAAAGACATCAAAAAATGATCACCACACCAAAGAAGGTCTTTTAGAAAAAGTAGATTTACTGCCTTAGGAGAGGATGCATGAGTGAGTCTAAGCAGATTTCTCTACCAATTCAGCAAACTGGAATGACAGTAACAATAATACATACTATTAAGTGAGGAGTAATTGGATATGGGTAATTATTAAATGAACAAGCATTGGCTTACTTTTAGCAAAGGTATGTCATTTTAATAAGACCTAACTCACACTGTGTGACCCTAGGCAAGTCACTTAACCCCAATTGCCTAAAAACAAACAAACAAACAAACAAACAAAAGACCTAACTCACCTTTCTTCATCTTGTGCATCAACAATTTGAGATACAATACTACTAGAAATACCATAGTCACATACTAGGTCACAAGTAAGGAAACCTTACTAGTTATGTTCAAATGCTTGCCACTGGAGGTCATGATATTTATAATAAATGTATTAGATTACTATGCTAGGCAATTATCTCAAATAAACATCAAGATAACAGGTATGACATTTCCCCACTCATATTACTGACAGCTTTGTTATTGTTAAAAATCCTCTGAAGGAAGATTCATAATAGCACAAGGTATGCATTCCCACCAAAATGGAATTTTTAAAACTGCAATTAACCTGGCCAGATCTCTATGGAAACAAAAAACAACAGAGAGAAGCATTCTCAAAATTATCCTTCAAAATCCAGTAATTTATCTCAAAGATGCACAGAACCATCAATAAGAAAATACTCTGTAACTACTGTATAATTTTAAACACTTGATATAATGTCCTATGCTATTACTTAGCTGCCATATCTTGGCACATGTATGACACATCTCCAATGAGACTATAAGCTCTTTGCAGGAAGAAATCCTGTCTAATAATACTGCCAAATAGCAGGCATTTTTACATCTCTGAATTCTACACGGGAATCAAACAACCAAGAAAAGCTTCCCAATTTCTGCCTCATCTTCAATAATCTACACAGACTGAAAAACCTACTTCTCCTCAAGTTGCTGGGTCTAGTTCCTTATTTCTTTTTTTATTTCACTGTGTGGTTTTCTACGCTCTGATATGTTAGTGAATTATCCCACTAGTTCATATATAGGCTACACCTCTAAAATGAAATCTATTTTAAAGAAAAAAAAATATATATGTACTGGCATATACGTTTTAAAATGTAATTTTTAGCGGAATCTCTAGACCTCTCTAAGGAAAACACCCTGTCACCTACCAAGAACTAATTCTGTCTCATTATTTCCCATGCTCATTCCTCTCAGTTGTTTTTTCTTGCTTTATTGTCATGGCTAAGTATTTCTAGAACAGTTTCAAATAACAGGGATGATAATATTTACAACTCTGCTTTACCTCTGATCATACTTGAAAGGACTCTAGAATTTAAAAACATTACATACAATGCTGGCTCTTCATTTTAAATAAATACTATTTACCACAAAAACCGTTTGTGATGACGATGAAGAATCACTGGTATCATAAAGTCCAATCCCTACTCTATATTATCTACCATGTTAAGGACAGGACAATTTATTCTTATTTATGCTTTTTAATGTTTTTAAAGAAAATGAGTATTGTAAGCCTTTTCTGCATTTAGTGATGTAAATGTGATTTTTATTTTTATATTAATATGGCCTGATAGTTATAATATTCTTAACAGTTAATGAATTCTGAATGCTTGATATAAAAACAACATTGTTATAATATACAATTTTTTCAGTATGTTGATATAATTTATTAATATCTGATTGAACATTTCTGCACTGATATCTATTAGGGATATTAGTTTATAGTTTTCTTTCTTTGATTTGTCTCACCTTGATTTAGGCATTAAGGCCATATTCGTATTGTAAGAGGAATCTGATAGGATACCTTTTTTTTCCTATTTTTGAAAACTTTTTATAATAGTGAAATTCATTCTTTAAATATCTGACAGAATTTACTTGTAAATATACGTAGTCTTGGGTTTGGGGGGGGTTCATTTACTGCTTAATTTTTTTTGACTTTGGATTGTTTAAATTCTCTATTTTTATATTATCAATCTGTTTATTTTATAATTTTATACATATTCATATATTTCATATATCAGTTTTATTGGCACAAAAATGGACAAAATAGTTATGAATTTTTTTCTATTTTTGACACTGGCAAATTGGTTTTCATCTCTCAAAAAAAAATCAAATTAGTGGCTAATTAATTTGTTAGAAAAACTAGTTTTATTTATCAATTCTTTCCACTTTATTAATATGGGGTTTTGTAATTTGTGTTTTGTCTAGTTCTTTTAGTGGCACGTTCAATTAACTTATTTATTCTTTCTGTCTTTTACTCAAAGTGTTGTAAGAAATAAATTCCCTCCTAAAAACGGGCCTTGGATGCAACCTGATCTGCTGTTTCTATGATCTGCTCTACCAATTCTTTAAGATTAACTTATTTCATCTCCATTTAAATTTGGATCTTTTTTTAAAAAGCCCTTTATTGATACTCTCTCTTGTGTTATCATAGGGAAAATATATGTTTAATATTTCTGCTTTTCTGCATTTGTTAACGAGTGTATTATGCCCTATTAAATGGTCGGCTTTTAGAAAGGTACCATTTACACTGAGAAACATGATAACATTGTTTCAAAAAACAAAAAATAAAAAAACAACTGAAACAACTGATCAATGCAATGACCAACCACAATCCCAGTGAGCCAACAGTGAAGCATGCTTCTCACCTCTTCATAGAGAAGTGACAGACTAGAGGTGTAGGATGACATATACATTTTCAGACACGGCCAACATACGCATCTGTTTTGCTTGACTATAGTTTTTTATTATAATGGAAGGCTTTTTTTTTATTTGAGGAGATAAGAATTGGGAAGTGAGAGGGTATATGTGATAGCAATGCCATAAAATAATAAAAAGAAAAGAAAGAAAATGTCAGCGGAGCATTTTATTTAATGCACATAAGAAAAAAGCAGGAAGTTTACAGGGAGATAGAGACAAGCAGAACCAGCTTTGGAACTAATGTGTTGCACTTATAATCTACTTTTAAAATAAATAAGTTACACATAAGAAATTTGTTATTTCATATACAATCTCTTTTCCATTCCTTATATATGGAAATGTTCATGTTTGTTGGTATTTATCAAGTTCAGAATAACAAAAAATAAATACCCTAAAAATAATGCAATAATAGGTCACATCTGGATTTTATACAAGCCAGATATTTTGGAGGGGAGGGGAAGATGGGACATGGCTTATATTAAGGCCAATGAGGCAATTAATTTAAGGAAATTAAAGCCATTTCTACACTAGGCAAATATTACAGTTTACCAAAATCACTTGAAATTTAGCCAAGATCCTCTATCTAAATAGGTGTCATACCACATGGTTTTCAAGCATTTTTTAAATCTCTTAATGAAAAATTCAGTTTTGCTACAATATATGGAGGACCAAATAAGCAACTCTAAGAGCCAAAGTGATTTATAATTTATGACATGGCCCAGCCAAACTGAAATGAATTGCAACCAAGTTTTTTTAAGTGACTCAGACAATGAGAACTCTTATTTAATTCCAATCCTTTTTCTTCATCATATAGATTCTGCTTCTTTTTCCACTCCAAAAGAGATGAAAAGAGAAGTAGGATTTATATGGGAAGTCAAGCTGTTCGGAAGGCATGCAATTCAAATATTTACTCTTAAATATGAAGTCCAGTGATGTGGACAATATTCAGGAATGACTCATGATCTAATTTACAGTTTAAAGGTTAAAACTAATTTAAGCCTATCCTTTTAACTTCAAGGATAAGCTGCAAATTCAAAATAGAATCCGTATTGAATCTGCCTGCTTGCTGAGAGCAGATTTACATTGGCCATAAAGCGCAAGAATTTCAAACAGCTTCTTTAAAATGAAAAAGCATTCACACTGCACAGAAAACTTCTTGTATGTTCCAAAATGGCCTGTTTTTCCTCCTGTACACATTCCAAGGCAATGAAGTAACTCTGGCTCAACTCAGAGAAGTCTTTTCCCCTTAAGCTTCTACAAAGCAAAGATGGTCTCAATTACTATCAAAAGGCCAGCACATCACAGGTGACTAAGTACTAAGCATTCAAGCTCTTGGAACCTGCTTTATTTAAACACAAAGCAAGTCACTAAAACCAAATGACAGGACAAACAAAATAGGACGACAGTGGGAAAGGCAGCAGCCAAGAAGATCAGTTAATGCCTACGTATTCCCCCTCCAACATACTGCTCACTCCCCCCCCCACTCAAACACTGTTAGCAAAATTCAGATGAAGTGAAAAAGGCTCATACAAGTTTCAATGTAATTGCTCAGAATTACCAGGAGCTTCTCTAGGAAGCTGTCCATATCCCCCTCCAAGAGGACTCCATCCTCCTGGCTTCTTTACCTACTCCAAAAGCAAGTAAATTTATGTCCAAGGAAATCTAGGGTCAACGTGACCAAAGTCACTGGGAAACCACTCAAGATTTCTCCAGAAGGAGAAGAAAAAATGGCAGAGAAATACACTCCCAATTCAGAACAGGCGACAACTGAAATCCAAGGCTGATCATGAAGTGTAAATGACAAAACCAAAAAAAACAAGACTACAAGGAGTTAGCCCAAAAAGATAATAAGACTAAAATCATTCTTGTAATGAATCACAAGCAGAGCTGCAGCATTAGTGTGTTACAATTAATCATGGCCGCATTTGTGAATGGATACACAAAAGCTTCTAAGAACCTAATGCCAGCATGCACCATCTAAAAGAGGGTTAATTCTTACCTTTTCATTCTAACATACAGCAGGATTCCAAACAGAAAACAGGAACAAAACACATAAAGCAAGCATTAGGGACAAATACGGTCTCATACTATTTTACAATAATTTAATCAAGACATACACACCTAGAAGAAAAAAATACAGCCAAAAAGAGACTGTCAAAACCCCACCAGCTCCAATGTACGCAGGTGCCAATACTCTTATCAAATATTAAATAGACAAAAAGGCTTCTTTTCCACTCTCTCTCAGTATCCCTTACAGCCTAATTTCAATTGAACTGAACCATAGCCGGCAGAAATGTTTTAAACCTACTATTCCATTAGAAAGGGAGGAAGAAAAATAACTACAGCCCTACGTGAGGAGTCACTTGCCTAGAACAAACAGTGAGGAGGCAATGGAAAAGAAAAAAAGAGGCACAGAAAAAGTTGGAGAAAAGACTTCAGTTTGAGATTTGGGGTGCAAAAATTTATGAAAAAAGAAACCAACGGCCACAAATTACCTGATTACTATTTACTTCAACAGTACCAAAAAAAAAAAAAAAGAAATAGACATAGAACAGAGATTACTGTCTGCCAAAAGTCAGGCTTTTAAAAAAACCTCCCTTTTAACATGAAAAAGGCAAAGGATAAACATTATCAGTTTTCAAGTCTATATATCCTGGTTTCTGATCCAACTGCAAAATAAGGGCTGGCTAACACCTCCACTAAAATTCAGCTCCTAAACTTTCTTCCCTTCAGCAACAAGTCTGAAGATCAGGAAATTCATGTACTGCGCAGAAAAAAAGGGGGTTTGGATAGAGACATACTGATTTGAACCTACCTTTCGGAAATGTGCTAGCATGTCTGGGCTTCTTTCACACATTTCTGTGAGTAGGACGACAGATGTGTGAAGGACACCTGAACAGAAAAAAATATATATGGGCAGGTATAAATTAGGTTATATCAGTCTCATCAACTTAATGACAACTTGACTAAATTTCTCAAGAACATGAGCTATACTTTCTATTTCTTTTGTATATTTCCAACTCCACAGCCCTTAGAGTATGATGCAGTGTTGACTGCCCCCTCAACTACTTAATTTTTTTTCATCTTTGCCAACTGAGAGGCATGAGGTGGAATTTTAGAGTTGTTTTTAACTTGCATGTATCTAATTATTAGTGATTTAGAGCCTTTTTTCTTGTTTGTTGATAGCCTGGCTCTCTGCCTTTGAAAATACCCCGTTCTTATCCTTGGACCATTTACCTACTGGGAAATAGTTCTTGTTCCTATCTGAATCAATTCCTTCTATGCCTTGGATATGAAATCTTTATTGGAGAAATTTGCTGCAAACATTTTTCCCAGATAACCATCTCACTTCTAACTTTACCTGTGTTGGTTTTGTTTGTGCAAAATCTTTTCAGTATTAAGTAATCAAAACTGTTCTTTTTATCCAAGATCCTTTCTATCCTTTGTTTGGTCTTGAACACTTCCCCAGGCCATACTGAAAAAGGTAAGATCTTTCTTGCTTTTCTAACTTGTTTATGATGTGACTATATCTAAATCATGCTCCATGTGGTATATGGTATGAGCTGTTGGTTTATACCTAATTTCTTCCAGACTTCCAATTTTCCAGTAGGTGGAGTGTTAGAGTTTATCAAACATTATACAACTGTGTTTATTTGCATCTGTATGTTGTACACCTAATCTATTTCACAGAGGGATCTTTCTATTTTTCACCTAGTACCAAAGGGCTTTGAACATTACTGCTTTGCAGTACAGTTTGAGATCTGGTGCTGCTACTACCACTTTTTTTTATTATTTCTCTGAAAATTCTTGACCTTTTGTTCCTCCAGATGAATTTGGTCATTATTTTTTTCAAGTTTTATAAAGTAATCCTTTGAAAGTTTGATGGGTAGTGCTGTCATTTTTATTATGTTGGATTAATAAATATTTATTGACTGTTAAAGATACCATGACATTTTTTCTTATACCACTAGTATTGATATAAACTGTATAATTACTGCCAAAATAGAAACTTTGTTTAAGCCTTTCCACGTCTCAAGTAGCTGTAAAAGAATAGCTATAAAGATAAATTCACAACAGATACAAAATAGACATCATCTACCTCATATATGGTAATAAACGGTTAGCTAAACTATCTGTTGATCTTAGAAACTGAAATGATTTTAAATTTTCAGGTGAAGCCTATAGCAAAACTTCATTATAGCCTGTAAATACTTAGATGGCAGGAAAGATATACTTGTTTGGAAATTCTAGGGAGAAGTGGGAGGGGGAGAGAGGAGCATTCTTTGTAGAAAATAGAATAAATTCATAAAGCAATTTAGTGATTCAAACAGGAACTTTCTAACTCAGTATTTCTTCTGACTATAAAAGAAGAAATCATAAATACTTGAATAACTAAAAATCCCATCTGATTCTTCTGAAATTTCTTACCTGTTATAAGGACGCTAAAACAATTATCATAAATCCTACACCTGACAAAATTGAGAAATGAACTTCTGTTAGGAAATGGGCTTGTAACCACAGGCTTCCAGGAAGGTACAATGATCAACCACGGGAAAATGTACTAAACTGCACCTTAGTGATAATGTGTTGGCCTTACAGGAATATTTGCCTTTTTATTTTTTTAGGACTACTGAGAAGACTATTCTTGAATCAAAGGGATCAATCACTGATAACAAGCCTCCATGCACTGCAACAGCTGGTTCTGGGGCCTTAATGGCACCCTTCAAGACACACTAGCCCAATAACAACTTATTTCACCTTTGCATAGGAAACCCTGGGACTCCAACCCCAAACACCTTGTAAAAGCTCTCGGGAGACATTACCATGATTCTTTTCATTCAGTAAGTTTTTTGTGGCTGGCAAAAACATCTCCATAAGTTCCGGTACCTTCCTGATGACATGTACAGCACAAAGTGCTGCCTATAAACAAATAAAGTGACAGAAAATTAGCTCCTTTCCCTTAGTCAAAATTACTACCTTTAAGAAAGGTAATTAGTAACTGCCTCTAACATATGAATGCACCGGGAAGTACTTGAGAGTAAAAAACAAACAAACAAAAAAAAGCCCACCTTGCCCATAAATTAATCCCTAATTCCCCTAACCCTACGTTCATGAAGCTGTCTCCCAAAACAAAGCTTTTTGGGGCTGAACTGCATAATTAATTAATAAATCATGCTAAGCAAATTATCCAGTGATTTTTTAAAGCAGTTTCTTTGGTACTATAGTTTCTTACACTCACACCTTTGGGAAGTGGGAGCAAAGGATACTAGGTATCCTCTAAATCTTGGTTTTTTTAAGTGTATAAAATTTCTCATTATCCCTCACTCACCAAATGCCCCATTATTTATGTTTCCTCTATACCCCAGTATCACAAATCTATCACCCTCCTAGGTGGTGGGACATTCCTAAAAGTCAAAGGAATGAAAATAAAATCAGATGGTGACTGTTTTTTTGAAAGGACTAATGGCTTTAAAAGGAATCATCTGGCACGAGATCTTCTTCATATCGAGACTGATTTTGTCAGGTACCTGATAATATACATAAAATGAAGTGAGGAGCACAAAGGCATCTACAGTGGCAAATGATGCTGTTAAGAGATTTAAAAAAGATTAGAAAGGTTAAAATTTGAGTCCGGGGTAGGGAGCCTGCAGCCTCGAGGACACCTCTAACACCAAATGTTAAACTACACTGGGAAGAGATAATGAATAAAGACTTGCTAGAATTCTACCATTACACTGGAAAGGTTTTTTTAACTTAACAATGACCTTCCTACAAAAAGTAGGCAAACAATCTATAGAACAAAGGGTTGCTGATGGTCAAGTCTTCAGTGCCATTTTCAACTCTACTCTTAATAGTGTATTTAAGAGCAAAAGGAATTTTACCCTTTCTAGGCTCCAATTACAGTTGCAATAAAATGGGAATAGAGCTAACAAGATAATATATTTGCTAGCTATGTGACCCTGGGCAAGTTACTTAACTCCAATTGCCTCCAAAAAAAAAAAAGAGATAATATATTTGCTTATTAGATTTCAGGTAGTGTAACCCAAAATTGGAAACTAAAGGGGTGCCTTCTTACTAGGGAACGGCTAAACAAATTATAGTACATCAATGTAATAGAATTATGACCTAAGAAATTATAAAACAAGACAGAAGCAGAGGAAACTGGGAATATCTCTATAAAATGATGCAGAGCAAAATAAGCAGAACTAGGAAAACAGTTTATACAAAGATAACAGAATAACTCTGAGAGACTTTATAATTCTAAACAACTCAGTGATAAACCTCAAGTAAAAAAAAAAAAAGATGAAATGCACCATTCACCTCCTGACAGGCAACAAACTTAAAATGTAGAAAGAGACATACATATTTGGACACGGCCAATCTGGATATTTGTTTTATTGGAATCAGTCTTATGAAATGGGCTTATAACCACAGGCCTCTAGGTATAAAGGCCTCTATGCAACTTTCTACTGAGAGATTTATTTCTCAGGTCTGGTTTTTATCATTTATTCAATTGGAGGGAAATTAATACAGTGGAAGGGACATAGTAAGCATTTTTTAAAAGATTTATGTTATAATATGCCGCATTTATTTCAACATAATTAACTGTTGCACAATAGCACTGGCTCTGAATTAAAACTCAGGTACCAAACCACACAATCAAAAAGGAATGATAAAAGAAAAACACTATATCACTCAGCTACTAAAAAAAGTTTTTCAATGCACTACTTTAATGGGATAGCACTGCTGGTGATATTAATATTAATATTTATTGAAAAAAAATGTGTTTAAGTGCATAGTATTTAAAGTGGACATCATTTGTATTTTTAAATCACTGTATTGTTAAGAGATATATATACACTATGTAATAAAATTTAAAAATTCTAAAAAGATTTTACAGTGGCACCTTTTCCTTAAAGTTTTACAATAAAAACTCAATAAAATTATTATAACATTTACATAAGCAAAAACAAAAGCTTAAAAGCCAGAAAATACAAATTAGCAGCTATCATGTCACTACTCTACCTACAGAGTCAAATTTATTACAAGTATGTCCTATATCATATTCTCTAAGTTAATTGGCTGTAGTCCTATGAAATTTCCTTTATTCAGTAGGCAGATAAGAACCAACTGGTAAGAAATAAAAATTTTTGCTCTTTATTTTCCCAAAACTCCAACTATAGAATCAGTCACTTACGAAGTATTTATGGCAGAGCTTTCTAACATTTTATGCCAATCTAATTTTGTATTCTTATCAGCTCACTTAGGGGGTTATTATTTAATTCACCAAAGGATTCAGGATGGGTTTATTTAAAATAACACTTACTACCAAGTATTTAAATGTTTATATGATTAAGTACTTGAGAAAGAACCAGCAGAGGAACTAAACAGTTAAGAATCACTAATAGGGATCAAAAACAAATGAAGATAAATCATCTCTGAAAATGCTGCTAAGAATCACTGGATTTGGAGCTGGAGGGAACCTTGAAGATCATCTAGTCAAACTCTGCCATTTTACAAATGAGGAAACAAAAGTTCAGAGAGGATAACATGCCCGTGGTTACACCAACAGCAATAAGCAACATGGGCAACGTTCAAACCTGGGTTTTCTAACTCCAAACACACATTAAACACAATTGTTTAAGAACCCATTTCTTGCACAACGTTAAGATATACCTAAATTTTTTAACTACGGGAGTTAAAAATAAATCATTTGTGTTCTCTTTTCTATAGGACTTCCCAATTTGGAGAAAGAAAATTAGTTTTATCCTAAGTTACCTTTTTTCTTAAGTATGAATTGGAGGTTTTAAGGAGTTTCTCTACTTCTCCTGCAAGGTCTCGACACATTTCTGAGGAACCCATACAGCCAAGGGTGCAGAGTGCCAGCCCCTGCACATACTGCGTGCTATGATTAAGGTCACTGCAAAAGAAAATAAATATGAAGGTAACTCTATGTCTTGTCCAAAGCCTTAGGAAACTGTCCAAAATCAAGAAGGTCATAAACCTGTAGTTCAGGGAGCTTGCAGCTTAAAAAAAATTTCAGAATTTCTCCCATTACTGAGATACAGCGTCAGGAATTGATTCTAATTAGCTAACATTTCCGTAAAATAGGGATAATAATAGACCTACCTCACAAGGTTTGTGTACGAACAAACCAAAGGAATAATACGCAATGTGCTTTGTAAACCTTAAAGTTTTATAAAAATGCTAGCTATGAATTACCAATATAACATGCACTGTTTTCACAGTAGCCCAATGTTTCTAACAAAAAGGACTCAAAGGTAACATCTTATCTCTATTATTGAAGTCATGCTCACTTTAGCAATTTCAAGTAGCCTACAGCTAAATTCTTGGAATTTAGAGATGAAATCAACATTAGGTATCCAGTCATTTTACACGTGTCATTTTACAGATGAAGAAACTAAGGTCCAGAGAGAGGAAGTGATTTACCCAAGGTCACACAGACACTGAAGTGCGGAATCAGGATTCAAACACTTCTTTCTTGTTTCAAGTCCAGAAATAGTTGTAGAAACATACCACAAAATCTTATCTTCTCAAAGAACAGTTTCATAATACACCAAGCGACACCACCCCTTCACCCCATAAAAAGGCTGATGGCTTCCGTGAAGGAAATTAGATAATACCTTTAATTTACTCACTGCATGCACAAACTCAAGATGAAAGAGTTTTCATAGTAGGAATTATTTAACAATAAGATCAATATATAAATTCACATTTTCATTTGATTTCCACAAAGAGTTCTCTTTTTCCACAGCAGTTTTTACTAATATAAAATAGACCAATCAGACCAATAACACCAAAGCCATATATTTTGAACTTTGTAGGGCTGCTTAAATTTTAGGTGGTAATGGTATTAATAACAAATAATGGAATAGCTAAAGAGAGAGTAAAGAGATATGGTTGGAGAAGAAAAATTATTCTATCTACCTGAATAACAAAGAGCTGGACTTAGGTATTTTTAATTCTACAGGTTCATGTTTTTTATGTGTAGTATATACAAAATTTTCAAAGCTCTCTTCTCACAAGTCTCTTAGCAGGCAGGCAGTACTAAGTGTTAATTCCTATTTTACATATGAGCAAAGTGAGGGTCTCTGAAGACCCCATTATTTAAGAAATCATCCTAAGTGTCCAAAGCTTTACCATGGGTCTAATGACTCAAAGTCTAGCATTCTACCCACTGGTCCACACTATCTCTCATTACCCTCTTCCAGAGTGTTGAAAGGAAAGGAAGTGAAATTAAAATAAATGGAGTTTGCTGCTTATCAGCAACTCTGGCAATAATCTAGAGGGATGACAGGTTAAAATTCCTTGTTAAAATGAAGTCTGGAGAGTACCTGTAGCTTTAACTACACTCTCTCTCTCTCTCTCTCTCTCTCTCTCTCTCTGTGGGTTGCCTGTTTTCTAAATGTAATTTGAGTTGACTGTATTTTAGTTGTGTATATGTATTTAAATATACATACATATTTTTTACATAAAAATCATTTTTCAGTTAAAGAAAAAAAACAGTACCTTTGCACAACTGGAGTTCTTAATGCACACCAAACACGTTTTTCATTAATGAAAAATTAGAGCATCAATTCATGTCCAAAAAAGCTGAACTTAGCATTCTATTAACAATTTACTGTTTTCTCAGTTATTTGTTAGTAAATATGAAAGCTAGAGGATTATAGCGGTCTTCAATATCATTAGTGGTTTCAAAACATCTGAATAATTCAAGAAATTTGGACTGTCATGTGACTAAGTCCATTTCCAAATTATATGGATTAATGTTATTTCCTCAATAAAGAAGAGATTCAGGCTTTCACAATACTGAATATAAAGAACAGGATTTCACATGGTCCCATAAAATGAGCAAAGACTTGCCCTCTGACTACATACTTCATTCTTCTGAATTTATCAGTCTTGTACTTAGGTTTAGTTTTAACTCAGTTGTATGAACTGGCTGCTCTACAGAACTACCACATTATCAGCACGTGGTTGAAAACTTGTGTGATAATGGCAGCTATTGGGCATGCATAAAGCACAAGGTTAAGAGACTTCCGTAGGGACCTTATCCCGGAGAAGAAAGACAAGTTAAACCAGCTGAATGGCTTATCCACATACTACTTCTATTATCAACATATTTTTGAGGACTAGTAAGTGAGAAATCCTTGAAGACCCAGTTCACAAACTCTGCCCAGTGTTGAGGAGACATTTTACAAATACAACCTAATCCCAGTTCCATTTCAAAGTTTCAAAGCAAGGGGGGAAGAGGGATAAAGGGAAGTAAATAAACATTTATTAAGTACATACTATGTGCTACTTGCTGTGCTAAGCACTTTTTACAAATATCATCTTATTCATCTTCACAAAAACCCTGCAAAGCAGGCAATATTATTATCCCCAGTTTACAGTTGAAAAAACCAAAGTAAACAGAGGTTAAGTGACTTGCCCAAGGTCACAAAACTAGTAAGTATTTGAGTCTGGATCTGAACTGAGGTCTTTTTTTTTTTAACTTCTAAGCCCTCCCTCTCACAATATATTTATTTATTTATTTGTTTATTTGAATACTTATTTTTGGTTTTCAGCATTCACTTCCATAAAATTTTGAGTTTTAAATTTTATCCCCCTTCCTCCTTCCCCCCTCCCCAAGACGGCCTGCAATGTAATATAGGCTCTACTTATACATTCATATTAACCATATTTTCCCATCTGAATTCAAGTCTTCAACTACTGAAAAAATTTGAACAAGTACATTAGTTATGTCAGGAAAATATCAGTTTTGAGTGCCTTTACATCAAATTTATCTACCTCCACCAAGTCTACTTTCAGTTACATACAATAATATTTATTTAATGGAAAACGAAAGCCCAACAGGAGAGTAGACTAAGGATTCTGTCATTAAACTGTGTTTTATACAACTGAAATCTTAGAAGGGCCAAATGTTTAATAATGTAAAATTTCCTCTCTCCTTTTATAATCTCTCTAATAAGTATTGTATTAATTGCAACCTCTATTAGTCATTTAGTAAAGAATTACTACCACAAATTTTTATGTCTATCATACGAGAGGTGGAATAAGAGTTAAGTGGAAATGAAAGAATGCCACCTATCTTTCACTGATTTGTTTACCTATTTTTCCAGAGAGGAAAAAAACCCCATAAAATTGTATTTCCCTGATTTAAGCCTGAAGGTGTCTCTTCATCCTGACATGACAAGACCTTTACTGATAAAAGGAATGGTTTCAGAGGAAACTAGAAAAGACTTGCATAAATTGATGCAAAGTGAAGTGAACAAAATGAGAATTTATACAATAACAATATTGTAAAGACAAAAATCTCTGAGAGACTTAGGAACTCTGATCAACACAAAGACCAATCATGGTTTTTGTGTCATGACAAAAGACGATAATCACCTTCAGATAGAGAGCTGAAGGACTCAAGAGTGTAAACTGAAGGATTTGGTTTGGTTTTGGACATAACTAACATGACAATGTTTGTAGTGGGCTTTGTTTTTCTTGCTTTCTCAAAGATGAGGGGAAAAAAAGAGGCTTCAGAGCTGAAAATAAAATAAAATTGAATTAAAAACAAGCTATTTCCTAAAGACGTCAGTGTTTCACACTTCTCCAGAGACAGTTAAAATAAACGGAGGCCATTTAAAATCAAATACAATTCAAATATATCCCAGACCCTGTCAATAAAATTATCTAAGTCAGTGGAAGAGCACCGAGTTTGGAGTCAGAAGACTTGGGTTTGAATCCTAGCTCCATGACTCACCTACCATCTGTCTGACCTTGAACATGTTCCTCAGTCTCTCTGGGCTTCAGGCCCTCACCTGTAACACCAGGAGGAGGGACCAGATGACCAGTAAGGTCTCCCACAGCTCTGAATCTACCATTCTAGGCATACAACATCAATCACAATGTGCCATTACAGAGGACAAGGAGGAAAGAAGCTGACTCACTTCTTGATGCAGTTAGTCATCAGGAGGTGCACATCCTGTCTCTCATCTAGCAGCAGCATGGCCCCTAGGTAGCCGATTCGTTTGTCTGTGAATTTCTGAGAAGCAATAAGCTTGAGGCACTCCAACTGAAAAATAAATATGAAATTACCAAATAACTACCACTGAAACACCAGTTGCAAAAGGCACCATATTTTGCCCAGAATCTATTTCACTATTACAAATGTGTATGCAGGTACAACTATAAATATTTAAACTTCCAATTATAAAGCAAAGATTTTGGATCTTAGGTAATTTGATAAGAGACACAACATTATAGAATTTTAGAGTGAAAAGGGACTTTAGATATTATGATATTATTTAGTTGCCAAGATCCTTACCTTCTAAACTAGTGGTGTCAAACTCAAACAGAAACTCTCTTTGTAATTTTATGTATTTTACTTTGTGCATTTAAAAACATTATTCTTTGAAATGGTACAAAGGCTTAACTTTGACTGCCAAGAGGGTCCAAGACCAAAACAAAAACATTATTTTGACTCAATTCTAAAACAGGGAACTGTTCTAGATTGACTGAAAAAGAATGATTCCTTAACTACAAACATTAGCAAGACAGGAAAAAGTTTCTAGAGAAATTTCCTGCTCTTTTTCTTCCATGTTGAAGGGAGAGAAAGAACTCTTTTAAACTGTTCATACTTAATAAGTCAGCTTAGATACAGATATATTTATAGATTTTGTGCGTGTGTGTGTGTGTGTGTGTGTGTGTGTGTGTGTGTGAGAGTGAGAGAGTGAGAGAGTGAGAAAGAGAGAGAGATGTGAGAACAGATATCCGCCAAAAGCCCTTTGTCAAATCCTCTCAAAAAAAGTTTCAACCATGAAATAGTCAAAAAACATTTACTGAAAAAGAGCTAAAGAGCAAAGCACGGTGCTAGATTGCAAAAATGCTAAGTTTGCTATAAAAATATCGATGCATTAGAAAACTGTATGGTTTTTTAATTCACAAGTTTAGCGAATGTTTTATAGTACATCACTTATTTTGTTAAACCTATGTGTTTAAAGCAGAATATGAACAACTATAAATGAAAGGAAAAATCTCTAAAATCAAATGAATTAATTATAATACACACACACATCCTCCCTCTAAACAATACAACACCAAAATACCCCAGATTAGACCAAGGTTTTTATTTTATTTTTATTTTTTTTAGGCAATTGGGGTTAAGTGACTTGCCCAGGGTCACACAGCTAGTAAGTGTCAAGTGTTTGGTCTGAGGCCACATTTAAACTCAGGTCTTTCTGATTGCAGGGCCGGTGCTCTATCCACTGTGCCACCTGGCTGCCCCTTAGACCAAGGTTTTTAACTTATTCCAATATCTTCCACTTAGTACCACATCAAACACTAGAGGAAAAAACCAAATGGGTTCTACTACTGGTTGTGCTACTAACTATTTGTGTGACCCAAGACAAGGTCACCTCTCCAAATCTCAGGTGACATCTATGAAATGATGAGGTTAAACGAGAAGACGTCTAAAGTCCTGCCCAGCTCTGTATCTCTGAAATTATGTATTTTTTCTTTAAAAAAAAAAAAAGTTAATTCACTGCAGCAGTGTATTGAAGAGTCCGACACATATGTTACGTAGAATATTTTTCATCAGTGTTTACTTGGGTTGCACTTTTAAAGAAAGCTGCATCCAATCTGTCATCCTTTAGGATAGGTTTTCAAAGTCAAATGAATATACTTTGCCTTTTAAAGCTATTTACCCTTTAGCTTTGTGATAGTCATTGCAATGATCTCTATGATATTAATGATTATTTTAATAAAAAATGTGGGAGCTACAACTGATTACCCAAGGGTCTCAGAAAAATAGTTCAACAATTTTAATGATGACCTAACTTTTTTCTATATTCTTCTTGTTCAGTCTTTCATGTCCAACTCTCTATGGCCCCATTTTTGGAGTTTTCTTGGTAAAGGTACTAGAGTGGTTTGTCATTTCCTTCTCCAGCTCTTTTTACAGATGAGGAACTGAGGCAAACAGGGCTAAGTGACTTGTCCAGGGTCACATAGCCAGTAAGTATCTGAGTCTGGATTTGAACTCAGGAAGATGAGCCTTCCTGACTCCAGACCCAGTGCTCTATCCTAGGTGCACCACCTACCTGCATCACTCCCCTCCCCTCCCCCTCCTCCACAGCAATACACACATACAGATCTACACAGAGATAGATCAATATACATTTATGTATATCAAGTTGCTATCATCGAAAAATTTGTCACTCCATAGCCAATACAGTGATAAGGTTCCCCAAATAAAGCTAGCTCTTCAAAAGACAGAAACACAACACACTCTCTCTCTCATCAAATCTTTCTAGCTCTGCAAGACTGTCCAGAACTTATGCTTACTTAACAGAGCCTTCAAAAACCCAAGGTGACCTTCATTACATGAGGTATCAGATGAGGACATCCACTCTTCTTGTTCCTATGCATATTCACACACAACCAGCGCTATTTCTTGTATAACTTTTTTTAGAAATGCTTCATTACTGCTAAGCCTAACATAATAATTGTATAGGTTCTGATTTTCAATTTTCCACAAACACTATAAAAGGTAGTAATGTTTCTTTCCTTTTAATAGCCTCAAATTGTTAATAAACAGTTACTTTGGCTCTCCAGGAGACTAGAAATAGAAACAACTATTTCTGTATTTCATGAATTGAAGTGGTTGTGAATAAAGAATATTTATTTCCAGGACATACTAAAAGATTAATTTATGCTTTAATGGCATGGAACATTTAATTTATTGCTGTTTCAATATTAAACAGATCTGTTAACAAAGGGAGCTAAACCGATGACACTTATGACAACAATCTGTTTCTTTTTATAATTTCCCAAAGACTGTAAGCTCCATATTAAGGGAGTCGCCTGTACTTCCAGTTGTCAAGCTGAGGCTGGAATTTTTTCAGTGGCAAGGAAGCAGAAGCTTCCATCCCGTGGTGGAAACCCCGCCCCCAATTCTTCTATTTTAAATAAACTTAAAGTTAAAAAATATTCATAAGAGGGAAGGTGAATTAAATTTAGGTTAAAATAACTGGGGCTACATCAAACAAGGTGTGGCATACGAATATAAGCTTTGGCCCTATCTTGCCCAGACCTAACCTTCTATAGTACTTCTGGCCATCTCTACCAACTATGATCTCAACCTGAGGTACCATCTTACCGCCTCCTCCCTCATGGAAAACAGACGTCCATCCCTGGAACCACCATGGGGCTGACAGGCAAGCTTTGGTTTTCCCATGCCTGCATCGCACTACCAAGCCATTTCTTTGTCTCCAACCCCTTCCCAGCTCTCTTTCTGTTTACGTATCATCCTCTATTAAAATATAAGCTTCTTGAGGAAAAGGGCTGTATTATTTGCTTGATTTGTACCCTCAGCCCTTAGCACAGTGTTAGCTCTTAATAAGTATCTAAACTATGCAGCAGAATATTAGCATGCTATAAGAAAACGATGACTATAACAAATATAGAGAAGCATGGGAAAACATGAACAAAAGTGAAGAAAGCAAAACCAGAGAAACAATATACACAATGACTACAATATAAATGGAAAGAAAAACAAAATAGGAATTAAATAGTGCAAAATTATAATGACCAAGAACTTGGCTCCAAAGAGATAAGAGAAGGAACCTCTTCCCCCACCTCCTTCCTTACAGATATCCATGGATATAGAACAGTACATATAATGTTAACCTTTTTCAATATGTTGGTTAGGCTTACTGAATTTTTTTCTTCCTCTTTGTTATTCTGGTTCTTTGGGAAGGAGATGAAGGAGAGACCCGGCAGGAAATGTAAGTGGTATAAAAACATCATTATAAAAATTATTTTTTTTCCTCATTTCTAAAATATATAGAGAATTAAGACAAATTTATAAGAACACAAGCCATTCCCCAATTGATAAATGGTCAAAGGATATGAACAGACAGTTCTCAGATGAAGAAATTAAAGCCATCTATAATCATATGAAAAAATGCTCTAAATCGTTACTGATTAGAGAAATGCAAATCAAAACAACTCTGAGGTACCACACCACACCTATCAGATTGGCCAACATGACAAAACAGGAAAATGATAAATGTTGGAGAGGATGTGGGAAAATTGGAATGCTAATACATTGTTGGTGGAGTTGTGAAATGATCCAACCATTTTGGAGAACAATTTGGAACTATGCCCAAAGGGCTACAAAAATGTGCATAATACCCTTTGATCCAGCAATAGCACTTCTAGGGCTATATCCCAAAGAGATCAAACAAATGGGAAAAGGACCCATATGTACAAAAATACACATAGCAGCTCTTTTTGTGGTGGCAAAGAATTAGAAATTGAGAGGATGCCCATCAACTGGAGAATGGCTGAGCAAGTTGTGGTATATGAATGTAATGGAATACTATTGTGCTGTAAGAAATGATGAGCAGGCTGACTTCAGAAAAACCTGGGAAGACTTATATGGTCTGATGCTGAGTGAAGTGAGCAAAACCAAGAGGACTTTGTATACAATAACAGCCACATTATGCAATGACTAAGATTGTTAAACTGAACCTTTCTCAGCATTACGAGGATCTAAGACATCTCCAGAGGCCTCGGGATGGATAAGGCTGTTCACATTCAGAGAAAGAACTATGGAAGTCGAATCGCTATCACTTATTTTTACCTTCTGTTGAGTTTTGTTTCCTCTTTCTGATGGTTCCTCGTATTGGTTTTAATTTTCACTTACAACTTCACTAATGTGAAAATATGTTTAATGGGTATGTAAATGTAAAGCCGTCTTGGGGAGGGCGGGGGGGAGGAAAAGGGAGAAAAATTTTCAACTCAAAAGCATATGGAAAAAATAAAAAAATTTAAATTAAAAAAATGAGCTAGAAAAAGAAATTTTTTTAAATGAGGGCTGAATATAGAAGAAATTTCCCAGGATCTAATGGGATGACGACTAATATCCATTAAGAAAGCAGCAAATGGACATCTAATGTTAGTAGATACGTCAAAATACAAGTGTTTTAGAAAGATTCTATCAAGAGGTAGAGAAGAATGACCAAAGCACTTCTTTAAATTTAATTTCTACTATGGCCCACCAAGTGTCATAATAGAAAGCAGTGATATTAAGTTTAAGCTAGAAGGATCTTCTAGTTGGGGGGAGAGTTATCTTAATCTGGGCTCTATGAACTTGTTCTTTTAAGATTTAATAAAACTGTATTTCAGTATACTTGGTTGGTTCCCTTTGTATCCCAAGAATTATACTACGCACTTTAAAACATGATTTTCAGCAGGGGCCAATAGGCTTCACTACCCTGACTACCAAAGTAGTCCAGGACACACACAAAGTAAAAAACCATTACCTTAGTCCAATATCGTTTTGTTTTGTTTACAGCTGAGGAATTAAAGATCCAGAAGGTCTTTAACTTGCCCAACATTGTAATTACTAGTTAGTGGCAATGGTGTGACTAAAATCAAAGTCTCCTGATTCCCAAGCCAGCATCCTTCCTACGATATTTCCCACTATCACCCAAATACTTAGGCAAAAGGTGCTGAATCACACTTTGCAAGTGAGACATACCAACCATGTAAAGGCATATAAAACCAGTTATGGTATGAAACAATTTTTCATAATCAAGATACAAAGGAAATTCCAAAAGGTGGGTATACTGAACTAATATTTAAATAACAATGTAAACCAGGGTCAAAGCCTATGATTAATTCAAATGAAGTATCAGGGAAAATTAAGACTGCTATAATTGCCCAAAAAGCTGTCTAACCTAGAGTATATCTTTTGATTTCCTATTTTTGTTTTAAATTTTCAGCATAATCAGAGAATCTCACCTTTCAAAGGGATCTCAGAGGCCTCCTACTCAAGCCTGTACCTGAACAATCCTTCGTAACACCCCTGACAGGTGCTCATTCAGCCCATGCCAAATTCCAATGGGGGAAATGCACTCTCCTAAGGTAATCTATTCTAAACACAGAGTCTCCTAACTTTCAAATTTGTATTTGCTCTTTCCAATTTTCACCCACTGATCCTCTTTCTGCTCACTAGGTACAAGCAGAACAACTCTCATCCTTCTTCCAAATGACCAACTCTCATGTCCTTGCTCTTGGCCCCACAAGTCTTCTTTTCTCCTTGGTGAACATCCCCAATTCCTTCAGTTGAGTCTCATATGGCACAAACCACAGGGACTGCACCAACCTGGCTGTCCTCCTAGCTATGCTCTCCAACTGATCAATTTTCTTCCAAAAACGTGGTCCTCAGAACTGAACATAAAGCCTTGTTATCATATGTCGAGGGCTACCACCTGCCTCAGCTGGCAGGGAACACATTTCTTAACGCACCTTAAAACTGCAACAGCTTTCTTGGCCAACATGTCACACCAGCACTTCATAATGTCACTACAGTTCACTACAGCCCTCATATAAACCAATGTCTAGACACAGCTTCCCCGTGAATCCACAAGTATGACTTAAACATTTTCCCCTATTAGACTTTAGTTCAATGTTCAACCTGGCAAGATTTTTTTCCTATCTTGCCTTTGTTACTCAGTGTATCAACTGTACCTCCAGCTTTGTGTCATCTGAAAATACAAACCTACCACTTTTACCTTTGTCTAAGTCACTGATAAAAGTTCATAATAATAATAGTGTCTGTATAATGCTTTGAGGTTTAAAAAGCACTTTACAGGAGTAGCTAGGTGGCGCAGTGGATAGAGCACCAGCCCTGGAATCAGGAGGACCTGAGTTCAAATCCGGCCTCAGACACTTGACAAGTGACACGTGATGCTTAGTAGCTGTGCAACCCTGGGCAAGTCACTTAACCCCATTGTCTAGCCAAAAAAAAAAAGAGAGTAAAATAAATAAAAGCACTTTGCAAATGTTATTTCATCCAATCCTCACAACAACTCTAAGAGGTAAGTGCTATTTTTCCCATTTTTATAGAGGAAGAAACTAAGGCAGACATTGGTTAAGTGGCTTATCCAGATTAAAAAGCTAGCATCTGAGGCTGGATTTGACTCAGGTCTTCTAAGGCAACTCAGCAGCACAGCGGATAGAGTGCTAGACTTGGAGTCAAGAAGATATGAGTTCAAATCTCACCTCTGGTCTCAGATACTTACAAGCTGTGCGACCCTGGGCAAATCACTTAACCTCTGTTTCAGTTTTCTCACCTGTAAAATGAGGATAACAGCACCTTCCAGGGTTGTTGTGAGAATCAAATGAGGTAACTATAAAGTGCTTAGCTCAGTGCCCGGCCCATGGCAGATACTACATAAACGTTTCTTTCTTTATCCCTTTCTCTTGCCCTTCCCCCACTTCCTGACTCAAAGTTCATCATTCCAGCCACTGCACCACCTAGCTGCTGAGCACAGATCCCCTGGGCACACCACAAGCAATGCTCGACCAAGATGATGTCAAACCATTAATGAATGGTTTGGATCTAGCCATTCACCCAGGTGAGTCCATGAAACTGCATAACCCCCTAGCTCCTACCTTGTCACCTAGTCCACAGGAACAGCAGGAGACTTTCTGACAAATGCTTTAGTGAAACCTAGTTAAACTATATCTACAGCACTGCCATGATCTACCAGCCCTAGTAACCTCATCAAAAAAAAGGAAACAAAGTTAGTTTTTGCATGACCTGCTCTTGAGTCATGCTGGGTCTTCCATTTCCCAATGCTCACCAATCTTTCCTATAACAATACATTCTAAGGACACCTCCTCCCATTGCTTTCCAGAGGTGAGGTCTAACATTTATAGAACACTGAATGTATTATAAGACTTTTGTTTTTTTATTGAACTGCTTCCCACCCATCACCTACTTTTTCTAATAAAGGATTACTTTCTTTTTTGTTTTGTTTTGTTTAGTTTTGGTTTTTTGCAACGCAATTGGGGTTAAGTGACTTGACCAGGATCACACAGCTAGTAAGTATCAAGCGTCTGGTCTGAGACAGGATTTGAACTCAGGTCCTCCTGCCTCTAAGGCCAGTACTCTATCCAGTGCACCACCTCGCCACCCCTAAAGGATTGTTCTCAGGGAATGGAAGGGGGGGTGATACAAACATAGGTGATACAAAACCAAAAGATATTAACAACAACATTTTTTAAAACAATACATTCTTGGGTTTTGCCAGTAATCACTGTGCTAGTCTGCAGACTCTCCTTTCTTCCTGGGAGAGCAGGATACTTACTCTCTTCCCATCCTATGGCACAACACCTATTCTCTTCCAGATCTTTCAAAGACCTTTAACTGCACTGGCAATCATGTTCGCCAGTTCTGGCAGCACCCCCAAGGACATAGTTCATCTGGGCCTGGTGGTTTCAAGGGTAGTTTGGTATCCTGTTATCATATAACGAATCGCTTTGGTATCCACTTCCCACAGCCCTTTATGATCCATTCTTTCCAATACAAGCATCATTCTTCTTGGCAAAGAAAACAGAAGCAAAATAAAGAGTGAAACAGTTCTGCCTTCTCCATCTCCTGTTCTCATCACCCCATCCACGCTGCACAGAAATCCCATCTTCTCTTTGAACTTCTTTCCCCCAACACGGCAAAAAGAAAAAGCAGTCCAAAAAACAATCTTTGCTGTTCTTAGCTTTTCTCACCGGCCTCAGATTATTCTAAGCATTGATATTCCTAACAATACTCTCACTGGGCTGCGCCATACTTCTGAATGCAACCTCTGACTTGATCTTGTTTCCATCTCTTAAACAAGTCTTTGAGTTCCCTGTGCATAAACACTGATCCCATTAGTCAACAATCACTACTCATACTTACTAAACATACATACAAAACCAAAAGATATTAACAACAACATTTTTTAAAACAATACATTCTTGGGTTTTGCCAGTAATCACAGTCTCAGCAAGGTTTATGATCATGTAGGCACAAATATAAACTGATTCACATGTGCTTAAATCAAGAGAGAGCATGGCCAAGTGAAAAGCTGGTCCTGAGATTCTGGTCAAGCTCTAAATGTGGTGGCACCAACAACTGCCATAGGTAACTACCCCTAATTTAAGTAAATTTATGGTGGCTGGTCCACAACCAGTTATCAGAGTCCTTTTGAAGACAACATAAAAAGTAACTGCCTTGCCATCTCTGATTCAACTATCAGAGAAGCATTATATAATCATCTGTAATAGGAAAAAAAAATAAACATGTACATGTTCATATCACATTTATGTATAAACAAGCACACATTTGCACGTTATTTTGAACTAGCACATAAATAAGCAATAAACAAGCTACTGTCAACCAAAAAGAGCCACTGGCTTAGTATGCTATAAGCAACAGTTAAGAGCTATTTCAGTCTTTTATGACTTAAAATGCTTTTACTGACCTGGTAGAAAAGACTTATCCAATGTCCACAGAATAAGAAATAAAGTAGAACATCTCCCCCCCCAACAGATTGATGTGATCCATTAATTAATCTTTAAACTTGCTACCACTACCATATCTCACCTGACTAATATGTGAACATATTCTCAAGGGGGAGAGGAACATAGCTAGCACCACCGCACACCTCTCCTACTCTCACAATGTACATAAAACAAAGGAAACCAAAAGTGCCCTGCCAAAATAAGTTGAAGATCCCAGAAGAGTATCACCAACCAATGAGCATTTATAAAGCGCCTCTTACATGCCAGGCACTGGACCTGGTGCTGGGGATACAAATACAAAAGTGAAACAGTCCCTGCCCTCAAGGAGCTTACAATATACAGGGAAAAGAGGTAGATCCAGACAAGCCTACCTGACCAAAGTGTGCAGGATAGCCCAGCATGTGCATGTACAGTAACTTTGCAACATTCCGACAGCGATATGTGTTGTCTTCTTCTCTAAAAGATGACCGGATGGCAGCACATTCTTTCTGGATCATTTCTCGTTCTTCTGCTTGGGTCCGGGCTGTCCGGATGGTCCGGATCAGCTCCCGAAGCCTAATGGGGGCTGGCATCCTCTAGAGAATAAAAATACATAAGTGAATATGATTACACAAAATTCTCACTAGCCAAAGTATTCACATAATTTCTGCTATAAGATCATAATGCCCGAACATTATGTTAACAGTGTGAAAGAATGTTAGACCTGAAGTGTCTGGGTTCAAATTCAGCTCAAGTACATAATGTACTTACCTTGCACTACCTGGCATCTTAGGCAAGTCACTGACCACTGAAAAATAAAAAGGCCTGACCTAAATGACATCTGAACTAGCCCCTTCTAACTCTAAGTGTTGAAGGCAATTTTTAAAATTGTGAGCATGAGGTACAGGACAGTATTAGGGCTATCCCCTACAAAGTTAACTGATGAAGAAGTTCATTTTATCATCCTTCAGTACATGAGAAGTCCTTACTAAAATCAGTTAAATCAGGAAACAATCCGAATTCTATTAAATGTGTTCAGCAAAGACCTATATTTAAACTTAAGGAAGCAACTATTATTTTGCTCTGAAAAGCTATAAAATTATGTAACAAGAGAATATATAACAATAAAACGATAGATAACAACAGAAACCGAAAAATCTGCCCAAGAGTCACTAAAATGTTTATACTCTCTGATTCAGTGATACTGCTACCAGGTCTATATCCCCAAAGAGGTCAAAGAAAGTAGAAAGGGGCTCACGTATATGAAAATACTTGTAACTCTTTTTGTTACAGCAAAGAAACAGAAGCAAAATAAATGCCCATCTACTGGGGAATGGCTAAACAAATTAGGCTATACCAACATAATGGAATATTATTGTGCCATAGGAAATGACAAAACAGAGGTTTTGCAGAGAAACCTGGGAAAAGACCTGAATGAACCAATGCAGTGATATAAACATAACCAGAACAATTTTATACAATAACAGTATTATAAAGAAAAAATAACTTTGAAAGACTTGAGAATTCAGATCAATGTAATGATCAACTATAATTTCAGAGTACTGAGGATAAAAGCATGCTACCCACCTCCAGACTAAGAAGTGATGGACTCAAGACACAGAATAAGACACATTTTTAGACAAGGCCAAAGTGGGAATTTGTTTTGCATAGCTATACAAATCTGTTACAAAGGTTTTATTTTTCCTCCCCTCCCCCACCTTAGAGGAGTAGGTAGGCAAGGGAGGATAGATTAGCAAAAAGAAAGAAAAGAAAGTCACTGGCGCAGTTTTTTGAAATTGTAAAGAACAGAAGGAAGGTCAGAAAAGAAGCACAGACAACAAAGCTTTGAAAGGCACATGCTGAACTTTTACTTAAAAAGAAAAGCAAGCTATACATAAAAGATACGAAGTTTTATGTACAATACTCCTACCTATGTATTCAGATATTTCTTTTTTATTTAGTGTTTAAGTTCAAAATTTTAAAAAGAAAAGTTTGTGCAGAATGACAAGCTGACTCAATAAAGTATGGGAATTTATGATAAAAGACATCTTTGCAGCCCAAATACAAGTCATTTCTTAGACTGCTGGCTGCCCTTTTAGCCTTTACGATTTAATCTATAATCCATAAACTTATTGGGGGGAGGGGAGAGTTTAAAGGAAATGACAAAATAAAATATTACTATCATCAGCCAATCTACATACTGTTCTCAGTTCCGCATATTTCACTCTCTACAAGTTCACACCACTTTGCCACGTTTCTCTGAACTCCTAGATTCAAATTTGAATTTGAATGATGAATCATTTCTTATGGTACAATATTATCCCACAATATTAACACACACAATTTTGTTTTAGATATTTTGCAACTGCCAAAAGTGCTACTATGAATAATTTAGACTATATGAGGCCTGTCTGTTCACCTTGGGGACTGTGGTGGTTGAGTTCTTTCAGTCATGTCCAACTCTTTGTGACCCCACTTGGGGTTTTTTTGGCAAAGGTACTGGAAGAGTGGTTTGATATTTCCTTCTCCAGCTCATTTTACAGATAAGGAAACTGAGGCAAACAGGGTTACTGACTTGCTTAGGGTCACACAGCTACTAAGTATGTGAGGCTAGATCTGAACTCAGGTCTTCCTGACTCCAGGCCCAGTGCCCTATTCACTTCACTAACTACCTGCCCATCTTAAGGGCCTATGCTCAAAATGTGACTCTAAGGTCAAAGCATATAGTCTGACTTTTCTCAAATAATTCCAAATTGTTTTTCAGCTTGGCTAGACCAATGCATAGCTCCACCAAGAATGTATTAGTGTGCCTGTTTTCCCTGTCTTTTCCCACCTTTTTAACATGTATTGAAAGGCTATTCCCATCTTTTAACATAAATGCCGGTTTTATGGGTATTACATAAAAATCACTGATTTAACTTGCATTTCTATTAGGGAAAGGGAAAAGAAATAAACATTTATGTAGCACCTACTACGTACAAGGCATTGTGCTAATGACTTTATAAACATACTATTAGCAATACAGAACATTTTTTCCAATATGGTTGCTAAGAGTTTCATTTCTTCTCTCAAGAACTGTTCACATCCTTTCAACACTGAGTTATTACAGAATGCCCTACATATTTTCACTAATTCCTTACAGATCTTCAATATCAGAGCTTCATGACTGAATGAAAAAAACTTACTAAGTGTTTCCTATGTGCCTAAGACAGTACTAAGTACAGAGTACAGAAATACAGATAGTAACTGTCCTTCATCCATTCTAATGGGAAAAATAATACATACAGGGAAGTGGTTTACAGGAAGTTACAGTCTAGAAGTCACAAAGACGGCAATATGTGAGGCAGTCAAATCACATACTCTTTCCAGAGGTAAAAGTAGTGTTGATTTGATTACTGTTTTTAAAACACAAGGTGGAAAGGGGTATGGGTGCATTAAAAATGACCGACTGTTCCCAGAGAATACTAAGCGAAGTTTCTCAGGACCTTCAGTTCAGAGCACAAAGTGCCAACAAGATGGAATGAACACTATCAGATTTATCTGATACAAAAAAAAAAATTTCCCCAGTTTTATTCTAGTTGCACTGATTTTGCTCACAAAGAAACTTTTAAATTTTAGATCTTTTAAATCAGAGGTGTCAAACTTGCAGGCAGCAAACTAAATGGCTGGAACCAGATTAAAATGTAATTGGGAAATGTTTTAAAAAATATAAAAATATAACATAATGTTAATTTGTGGTTTTCTAAGTTAATATGAAACTGAAAGATCTGTTTCCATTTGAATTTGACACCGCTGATCTAAATCATTAATTTATCTTTTATGATCATCCCATCTACTGCTTGGTTAACAATACTTATAATCACTTATAAATCTTATAAAGATCTGATAAATATCTCCATCTTTTCTCCTCTCTGAATGACATGACATTTTATATATCTACTTTATGTGGTTATATGGTATAGCTTATATGGTAGACAATGCTAGTCTAAATCTATTTTCTGCTAAACTGTTCTCCAATTTCTTTAATGGTTCTTGTTGAATGAAGTTGTTTTTTGGCCCAGCAACAAGTTCTTGGGTTGACTGAATAAGAAGCTACATTTTATTGGCTCTGAATCTCACTTATATGGTTTTTGTCACTGATCTACTTTTCAATATTTTGAAATCTGATCATGCTAATGCCTCTTTTATTCCTTCTTTTTTCCCCATTTCCCCTGAGGTTCTAAACCTTTTGTTTCTCCAAGGGATTTCTGTTATTTATTTTACTTAGTTCTAAAAGTAGCCCTTTGGAAGTTTGAGTGGCACAGCACAAGTCTATAAATCCATACATTAATTTTGGGTAGCATTTTTATTACAAGGGCAAAACCCCACAATGAACAATGACTCTCTATTTTGGTATTGCTTTATTCTTGTAAAGAATGTATTAGAATTAAATTTATGTAAGTTCTAGGTATGCCTTGGTATATTAAAAATCAAATATTTTATGCATTTTGTAGTTATTTTGAATGGAGGATATCTCTAACTATGAGATCCTTTAATTGGGAACTTTTTTTGTTTTGTTTTCCTTCTATCTTCAGTGCTGAGCACAATTCTTGGCATACTGTAGGGCCTAATAAATGCTTGCCAACTGAATGATTAATAAGTCTTCCCTTACATCAAACCATAATTTGCTTCTCAGCAACCTCTACACATCCAGGCAGCTAGGTGGATAGTTCAAATCCTTACTCAGACACTTTGCTGTGTGACATTCAGCAAATCACTTCCTCTCTCAGTCTCAGTTTCCTCCTCTGTAAAACGGGGATAATAATACCACCTACTTCATAGACTTGTTGCAAACTCTAAAGTTATATAAATGCTAGCTATTATCTCTTCTAGTTCTATTCTTTAGGACCAAGAGCACAAGTCTAATCCCTTTTCTCCATGACCATTCAAATACTTAGAGACAGTTATCATAATGCCTTAACTTTTCTTCTCCAGACCAAATATCCCTAATTACTTCAACTCTAGTTCTCTCACCACCCTAGTCACCCCTCCTCTAGACCTGCCCCAATTTTCTGTATCTTTCCTAAAATGTGGTACCCAGAATTAAAGAAGTAAATTATTCCCAATAACATATAAAAAAGCTGCCAGCCAAGCCCCCTGAGGTTAAAGGAGGTAAGGTTCATTACTAATGTTATTGTTCAGTTGTTTTTTCATTCATGTCTGACTCTGTGACCCCATTCAAGGTTTTCTTGGCAAAGACACTGGCGTAGTTTGCCATTTCCTTCTCTAGCTCATTTTGACAGATGAGGAAATGGAGGAAAGCAGGGTTAAGGTACTTGCCCAGGGTCACACAGCTAGTAAGTGTCTGAGACCACATTTGAACTCAGGAAGATGAATTTTTGCCCACTGTGGTGCCAATAACTGCCCTCCAGGCTATGATAACAATAACTAGCACTTACATAGCACTTCAAATGTCATCTCCTTTGATTCTCACAACAACTCTATGAGGTAGGTGCCACTTTACTGATGAGGAAAATGACTTCCCTAGAGTCACTAAGTTAAACAGTATGAGGTAGGATTTCAACTCAGGTCACTCTCAATTTAAATCCAGTGATCC